TCATGACACACAGCTTAGAAGGGATACTGAGGGTTACTTGGTTTCTATTGTCACCCCACAAACAGCCATAGCTGGTGGAATGCCCAGCCTTTCTTTGGAAATGCTCTAGGAATGGGGAGAATGTGTCCTCACCAGACAGCTCATCCCAACTCACACTAAACGGTTAAAGGGCTTCCTGCAACTAAGCTAAACACTGTCCCTTGAAACTGGTACCTTTGGTTTGGCATCCTTTGAGTAAAAACGTGAACTATCTTAGATTTCAAATATTTGAAGATAGCTATCTTCACTATACAAGTATTTCCTTCTTGAAGCTACATATCTTATTTTTCCAAGTATCTCTTTTATGATATGGTTTGTGGACTTTCACCGGTGGCAACATTCTTCATCATAAGTGCTCAAATGTATCAGTGTCTTTATTTTCATATCATTAGAACTTAGAATAAGTTTGGAATTAAAGAACATATACATATGGAAGGAATTATTATATTACTATAAGCATGATTATTAGCTTATCATTAGTACTCAGGCAACTGATTCCCAGTTCAAAGTGCTTTCTATTTTAATTGCCAATTGTCATATTTCCATTCAAATAATTGTTTTAAAATAATTTCTATTAGACTTATTTCACAAAGAATGATCCAAATTATTATTAACTGTTAAAAATATAAAACAGAAGAAGTAGATTTTGGGGTACACCCCAAGGTTAATTAAATCATGGATTTTGTCATAATAAAATGGAAGAATATTATTTTAATTGCTAGGTAAAGTTTGTAGAGGGGAAATATTATGACGAACAAAAGTCAATTGTTTAGATTTAGAGATACAAATAATAATAATAATTTTCCTCAGATTAAGGTTATGGCAAATGAACTATTGGACTAAAATGGATTAATCTTTCTGAGAGAGGTGAGCTAGATGTCTGTACATATCTTTTAATTCATTCTATTTAAATTAGGGAAAATTAGATACTATTTATTATCTCCAGCTTTTGACTATGATCATAACCTTTTTACAATCACATGAAATGTTTAGAGTACCTTCTTCCTCTATTTTCTTATTCAGCATTCTTCTTGGCCTGAGAATCTCTTTACAAGGTTCATCTGTTTAAAAAAAAAAAGAAGATGAAGAAGGAAGAAAAGGAGATAAAAACCTCAAAAAGAAAATCCCATGAAATCATTTCAGTATTTAAAACAATCACGTCATTTGTTCATTCAGCAAATATTGAGGGTCTGTTTTTGACTATGCATTAAATGTTAGAAATCTTAATATGACTTGTTTTATCTTAGAAGAGCTCATGATCTAGTGTCATATGGTTCGACTTGCTTGATCTGAGTTTGGTTTTGAATCTTGAAACCTTTCTGGTTCACTGATTATAGAAAAATACCTAAGCATTTAGATGGCTTTTCTTGGGTAAGCTATTTTTATTATTTGTTCTTTGTGCTATATATTATTACAGATAATAGCTCAAGGATAATTATGAACCATTTTAAAGCCCTAAAAAGATGATAAGATGTGGGTCTGGTCCTTATAGAGCTCACAGTGCAGTGACTTAGACAACATGTATAAGTAAGTGTAAGAATGTGCAACGATGCACTGCTATTACATTACTTTTATAAGAGCTAAATTCCTACAATATTCTGGCTATTAAAGGAGGAGGGAATTATCAACTTTATATGGCACAGAGGCCTCACAGAGGAGATGATTCTTACACTAACTTCTTTATGCTAATACGAGGGACAGCAGTCCTGATGAGGAGAGGCCCAGTGGTGTTAAATAGCATAGTGCCACCCAAGAACTATACTAGGTTCTGGATAGCTTACACATAAGGTAAGGCAGAACAGTGTGAGAGATAGCTGGAGAGGGCTGGGGAGAAGATGGAAGGCTGAGTCTTGAAGATGAATGTTATGTAACGTTTTATACAGGGAAGTTATGAAGCCATGTCATTCTAAGATCAGAATAGAGAATATTCTGGAGGAGGCACAAAAATGAGGTCTGGGAGGCAAATGCACAATGTAAATTTCATGTAATCAACTTGAAGAATAAACAAAAAATGCTGAGGATTTTACCATTTTCTCGGCTGTCGTCTGCATTTGCATTGGTGAGGAAGGTGAGTCCAGCCAGATGGAATACATCTGCGTTATTGCTGCCACCCCCTGCCCCACAGCCCAGGTCACTCTTCTCTAAAGCTTGAAATACCTGTCCAGAGACAGTCAGTTAATTTAATGATTCTTAGGAATTAACTAAAGGCAAAATGTTGAGCCTACTCAGATGTACAAATCATTCCTATGAAGAGCTAAAGCTATAAGTTGTTACATGGCTGTAATAAACCTCTGAAATACATAGGGCCACTCACCAAAGACCAAATTCCCAACTTGATTCCTTTAGTTTGTCCTTTTGTATTATAAATATATACCTATTCAAAATGAAATCAAGAACTAAATTTTAAGCTTAGATGAGGAGATTGTTAGAAACTGACCCATGTTGTTTCGTTCATAGACCACATGCTGCAATTAGTGTAACATCCACAAAATAAATAAGATAAATAAATGGGTGAAGGCATGAATGAGTTAAGAAATAAATGAACTTTTAAGCCTCAAAAAAAAAAAGCACAATCTCTTGTGTTTTTGAGAAGAGTGCTCTAGGTTCTAAATTCTCCCACAAACCAAAATCTGTAGCCACACCGTGAAGCACTGCAGAGTCACCGCACACACCAGTAACATACACTACTTAACTCTTCCCATGGGCTTCTTGGCTCTGCTTTGGACTCCATATATAGCACTGTCTACTGCTGTTAAAGCTACCCAGGAACCTGACTCAGTATCCATATTAAGAGATACACGTTGGCCTGGAGAATATGTATCTGCACTTGGAGACAGATGAACCTACAAGGTCATTTGAAAAAGAAAAGAGAAGGTCATTTGTGTAAGACTAAACCTCACAAGTAGCTGCATTTACAATGTACTTTATTCAGACGAACATTTGATTGTGACTTAATTTGTGGCTTACCTGGAGCTGGTTGCCACACTTTTCTTCAATATTTAACCAGACGGAGTCAGACACTAATTCTGCTGTCTGCTCTCCTGTGACGATGTAATAGACCAGGAGACGGGCTGAAGGAACCATGTTTTGTGTCACTGGAATGTTTATACTTTGATAAGATAAATCTGGAAGTTTCTCCCTTGTGCCGAAGTGAACAATTTTTCCCTTGGATAAAATCTAAAAATAAACAGTGGCAGCAACAATAATTACAAAAATGAAAACTTCGCTGAAGGACAGAGTTTGGAGCTGGAAATAGAAATTGTGTTAAAGAAAAAGAACGCTAACATGTATGGGCCCTATGTGTCAGGATTTTTATGTTTACTTAATTCCTTTAATTCTCACAATAACCAGTAAGATAGGAATATTATCCCCATTGCACAGATGAAGGGACAGGGTCAGGAATTAACTAAATGTCATACTGATTTTAGTTCAAAATCACATAACCAGAAAATCAGAGAGCTAAATTTTCCCCCAAATATGTTTAAAGTCATTACATTGTCACCAAAATCTCTTTTGTTTTATTGATTTAAAAAACATAGAGAGATGAGTAAGTAGAGTGCATCTTATTGGAAATTAGGTTTTAAAGCCAGAAATTAGCTTCTACACTGGAGGTGTAAGGTTTAAAAAAATATGTAGATCACATAAAACCAAAATATCCTCAAAGATGACTTAAATTGTCCTCAAAGAGCAGGATTGCCTATGTGGTTTTGGTACATAGTCCCTAAGCAGGTCCACTAATTCTTTATCAGTCAATATGATTTATGGTCCTCATTTATTTTTTTAATTTCTTTCTCAAAAGTGTTGAAAAAGCCATCACCAACTGTTTGGCCTGGCCAGCAGAATAATTCATTCCACTTCTTCGGCAGCTGTCAGGAAGCCCTGAACATTTTTCACACATTCCTTCCTAAATTTCACCAACAGGTTTGATCGGCCACTTGTGTTTTATATAAATGTCAAAGGGATGCTGCTGAGCAGTACAATTAGAGGAGATATGATGTGACTCAACTCTTAAGAGCAGGATTTGGTTCCTCCTTTTATGCTAATAAAATGCTTACATTTGAAATAGGTCTAGGCATGTCATCTTTGGCAGTAAAACAGAGCACAGTTAATGTGGGAATTTTATCAGGCTCCCTCTCCTGAGTAATCAGGCTTTCTTTGGTGAAAAGCAAGGAGTCAGAGGTTCCCAATCCAAATCTTCCTCTTCTGAGGTAACCATGATGAGCCTTTTAACCTCTCTGACCCTCAGTTTCCTCATCTGTGAAATGGTCATGAGAATCATGCCCTATCTCAAAGGTTTTTGGAAAGCTGATTATCAAATTAGGTGATGTTTTTTAAAGTGCTTTTAAAAACGAATGTTAAAGGATCATTGTAATGCTTCTCTATAGGCAAAGAAGTATTCCAGGTAGGGGAATAGCTAGATATAAATCTATCATTATTGTACTTACCAAGTAGTTATAGTGAGTTATTTTGTCAATATATGGACTCTTGGGGGTAACAATAATATTCAGATGTTCTCCCACAAGCAAGGGTTTATAGTTTTCAGTCCAGTCAATATAAAGGTAACTTTGGCTAAGAGATGAATATGCTATTGCCTGGTAATCGTTGCTGGCCTGATTTTCTTCTGGAAGATCTGGGTCATCAGTTCTGACCTGAAAAGGAAAATTTCAAAAAAAACATGTGGACTGTGATGAAATGTGATCTGTGAAGCATACCTTTTAAATTCCTCTCTTTGCTTTATAAATTTCTAAATTCTACAACACCAAATGCTAAAGAGAAAAAACTGCATTACTCCAGTGTTTGTACAGTTGTGGTATCAAATAACTTTACAAAGACTATGGACATTAATCAGAATAATATGGGATTATGGGCTATGGTGGGAAAGTTTGCTGAGGTGAAAAGAGAAAGATGCTTCTGGAACAAACACTGGCACCCTTCCTGAAATGTCATGGCAAGCTGGGGACTCCTCTTCCTATGGGTGGGACAGCAGGGATTAGGGGTAAGAAGAAGGCAGCAGTGGGGAGGTCTTGAGGAATGGGCACACCACACAGACTCTCCAGTCCAGTTTCATTGTGAAGTAGTGGCACAGAAGAGTGCTTATAGACATGGGATGGGGCAGGAGTGATCTCAGGGCTGCAACAGCCGCCTTTGACAGCAAAGGGGTTACTTAATAGTCATAGTACTATTAAATATGCATCCCAGTGCCATCATTTATTAACTCTGGATAAGTTACTCAATCACAAGGGAGGTTAGAAACCTCCATTTTCTCAGCTGCAAAATGGCAGAGATAATATTTTCTAACTGATAGCTGACTAAATGGGTAGTAAATGTGCTGTACATAAAGCTCTTAGCACTTTGTGAGCACCCAGTGGATGAGTGAATTTATGCAAGCTGAGGTCACTGATGGGTATTATTAATTTACTCATTTTTTATTTGGGATTGGGAACTTAAATATTATTTACTGAGAGAAAAGACTATTACATGAGCTCTAAGGTAGCATGATTTATGCAGCTAGAGTAAAGGGAGGCTTCCACATTTGACTCTTTCATGGTCCCCAAAAGATAAAAAGTGGTATTGAGGGGAAGAAAATATTCCTGCCAGTATATTCTACTGCTATACCAACTCTGAAGCTTCTAGAGAAAATAGTTCATTCCCAATTTTAAAAAGTGATAGATTTGTTTCTTCAATGACCATTTGATGGATAGCATATTGCCTTTGGTGATCTTTTTTTTCATTCCCAATTTTAAAAATTGATAGATTTGTTTCTTCAAGGACCATTCGATGGATAGCATATTGCCATTAGTGATTTTTTTTTATGCAAAATTGTGGGTCTGTTCACTGGATTTGTGTATAAAAATCTACCACATCTGCTTTGCACACTAGCCAAAACATACAGTCAAAAGCACACATTGTCCTAAAAAATTTACAAGGAGAATTTTAGCTCACATTAAACTCCAGCATCGTCACTCCAGATGGGAGATTAACCACAAATGAAGCTACTCCATCACTGGAACGTGTTACACTTTTCTTTGACTCCAAGTGGGATGTCTCTTGGTTTACATCGACGGTTTGTGCACTCAGGGTCACTGGGACCCCTCCAATCAATTTGTCAAATGAATCCTTAACCTGTACCTGTTTGTCAGAACAATCGAAATCCATTTCAACTGCCCACCACTTTTTTTAAAGCAAAACAATTCTGAAATAATTTTCCTCCTTCTCCACCAAAGTATAAATTATTCATGTTTAATTCAGTAATGAGAAGTATTTCCTCAGATATAGAAAGCTTTCATTCTATTTAGTTAAATCATTTTTTAATGGATTCCCTATACATTAAGCAGATTTAAAACATAAATATCCTATTAAGTCCATCAAGTAGATATGATAAGGTCTTCTGCTCTCTAACTTCTGTCTTTGTTCAATTGGTTTAGACCTGGACAAAGGAGAAAATGAGGCAATCATTTCTGAGGAAAATTCTCTTAAATACGAGAAACAATAAATGCATCTTATTTTCTCTTTTAACTTCTACCTCTCACTGCCATGCTTATGGTCATATATAATTTCCACAGATGTATTTTATATTGTTTTCTCTTTATATATGATATGCAGTATATAAAGATATTTTGAAATAATATAAATATATTCAATATAATATATATTTATGACTTTTTATTATATATTCTATAATTGTATTATCATATATAGTCTATAACAATATACCATATATTATTATATATATGTTATATATGTATGTTAGAAGCTACAAGCATGTCAAAAGCTTGCTTTAGCTTCGTAAAACTTTGTCTTTTAAAAGCCAGTGACCCATAGTGAGTAATAACTAACATATTTTAATTATACTAAAGGTGACTTTTTAAAGCAACGTATTTTCAAAGAAAAAAAATAAAACATTATGCTCTAGCTTTCTAAATTAATGACAGGGAACAAAATTTCCATTTTGAAAATAAGTATTATACATAATAAAATACATAACACTAAATATAACAAAATGTAATTAATAAGTCAAAGAATGTTTTAACACCATACTATCAGCATTTTAAAAGGAAAACTGAAGGAAGGAGAGATGGAGAGGAAGGAGGAAGCAAAAAAAGAGAAAAGATTCAGGGACAGAAAGAGTCAAAATGGAAAGGGCAGAGAATGATAGAGAGATGAGATCAGACAGAGTTGTGCACAAAAAGAACCCCGAGACAGAGTGAGAAGCACAGAAATGCAAACTCAAGAATACCCAGGAAGTAAAAAAATGGTAAGAGAGAGGGCTTATTTTCAATGAATGATATTTCTGTTTTAAGGTGTTTTAAGAATGCCACCAAACAATTTCAGATGTAATATTTTTTGAACTATAGAGTTACAAGTTTTTAGTTACATATTATTCAATGCAATGCTTATTTAGACAATGCCTAACGCAGGCTATCTTACTAAATACTGACGCTTGGCCTAAGTGTTGAAATCACTCCTGAGGCGGAAGCAGGTCTGAAGTTTCCCACCTCTGTCTGCATCTACAGGAGGGGCAGGCTTTACAGAATGAGTTCCTTCTGTGATGTGCCTCTCCAGCCTTCCCGTTTGCCACCCCCATGTTCCACCCCACCCTTCTTCTACCTTGACAGAAAATGGAATCCCAGGCTTCAAGAAAAGAGGAGTAGCAACCAAATTCACTTTGTAGGGAGAGAGGATATATTTGATGCCAGGGATTTCCGCCTCTTCAGAAAATCCACCTAAGGAAATGACAAGCATCACATTGACCATTTTTTTTAGGAGTATATGGATCTGTATGGGATCTATTTGACCTCTACATTTTCTCGCAGACTTATCCATTCACTCACTCTGTTCCTGCACTCATTCATTTACCAATAGTACGTAGGACATGGATCTTGGTTCAGAGGGTCAGTGCAGAAGATTTTAGAGCTCAGGAGTTTCCCAGGCCATCTGCACAAGGCTTGGGTGTAGAGCTGCCCCTTGTGGGAATGGAGCTTTAGGATTGGACTGAGGAGGCATGTGAGGAAGGGAGGCCACTTTTTGTCAGTGACCTGAGTTTCAGTTGAATAAGTACAAGACCTAAAGAAAGAATGGAAGTGTAAAGCAGAGACTAAGTTGTACAGAAAGTTCACTTTTAGAGCACAGGGATATGGAGAGACATAGATAGGAAGACAGAAGAAGAGTGCTTGAGGTGGAGAGAACCCTGAGGGCCCACGGGCAAGAGCTCAGGACTGTTACCCTAGTGTTAGCTAAAACTCAAGCTAAACTATTAGGAATGACATACAAAGGTCTAATATCCCCAAACTCCTTTCCAATATTATAATCCTAATGCCCCCGTATATATCCTACATTTCAGACAACTGGATAATCTTATCAAGCTTTTGGACACACCTTTGGTATGTCTCCTCTGTAGAGGGTACCCCATTTCACCTCATCAACCATCACTGCCTCAAAACCCTATCCTTCAAGACTGACCATGTTTTTGGTTGCTCAAAAGAAGACTGGACGTTGTTGTTGGTTGCTCACCTTCCTCTGAAGATTGGCTTATTTAGTACTTTGCATTGAGCACAAATGGAATTCTTTCTTGCAACAGAATTTCATGTTTACCTGTCTTGGAGCTGACACTAGTTTGTAAGTCACTCAAGCACTGGCATTATACATCATTCATTTTTGTAAGCCTGCATGTTCAGAAACACTCTTAGAATAGCTCATAAATATTGCTTAAATTGAACTTACTTGAAATAAATTGAGAAAAAAATGAAAGTGGGAAACATAAACATAATGTCAAAAACAATAGCCTGGGCAAGGAGTATCATTCTCCAACACCTATTAAACAGTTGATATGTGCAAGGTGCTCAATAACTGGATAATTGCCTAAATTCTTCATTCTGCTACCCTACATGGACAAATTTAGAGGTGGAAGGGGCCTTAGGAATTATCTAGTCTAATTCTCATTTTACCAAAAATATATATATATATGGACTCCACGTGGTTAAATTATTTGTTCAAGTTCAGGGCTCGGTATAAATCTGAAAATATAAAGAATATTAGTAATCAAGACTAGCCAGAAGTAAGACAAATTGACTCAACTTGGAGTAATAATTATAATTATTAAAAACCATTAGCGTGGCATTGAGAGCTCTAGATAAGATGTTAAGGATGCTAAGGAAGGAATAGGTAGACAGAAGAAGGAGGAGAAGGGAAGGAGGGGGAGATGAGCTGACACATATGGTGCTCACTATGTGACAGGTACTGTTTTAAATGCTTTGCAAAATATATAGACTTCTTGATCTTCACCAGAATCTTATGAGGTGTATGTCACTATTGTACCCACTATAGAAACATTATTGTCTCAATTTTAGGTAAAATTTCTGAACATTACAGTTCAAAAGGGATTTAGGAGGTATTTAGTTTAATTCCCTTATTATACAGATAAAGAGACTAAAGCAATGATCATGTTATATCTCTCATTTGCATAGTATTTTATAAAACATTTATGTATACATAATCCCATTTAGATTTTGATTCTGACCAGGAGAGAATATTGGGGTGCTAGATGTTTAATCAAGATAGCTTGTAGAGCCAGCCACTCAGGATATCAACCCAGCAGGTGTTATCCCATTTTTGCACTTGAGGCAATAGGAACCTGATGACTGGAGAGTGGCAGAGCTATACTCTAATCTCAGTTTTTAATGATATAAAAAGTAAAATTTAACTATGAATTAAAATAAAATAGGAAAGAACTGCAGAAATTATTTGTACCTTTAATACATCTAAATATTATCCAAGCTAACAAAACAAACACTTACCTGTAGACTCTATGACCGTTACGCCAATATAAAGGTACTTGTTGTTTATGTCTTCTAGGCTGTCATAGGACAGCTCTTTAATTGCCGTTTCAGAGTTAAATGTGACTTGAGCAATTCCATTTATCAACTTTTAAAAGGGGGAAAATAAAAAGGTATTTCAGGGAAGAACTTATAAGGAGAAAAATAACAACCTCTTTTTCCTAGCTTCTCCATCAAAGGCAAATGTCAGAGGAAGAGTTTATTGTCACCAGTAAATGTCTAGGTCCACAATTAAGTCCAGATGTTGTTTTGTAATTTATTTGTATAGAATTATAGACAAAAGGAGTCTTAAACATCGTATGTTTCAACAGGTCTTTTTCATACTAGCTGACAAAAATATCTTCTTTGAGTCATCATCCACCTTTCTGGGCCTGTTCTCTAGCTTACTTTTGCTTTTAACTGAGAGTTTGTTGGTTCTAATGATATTTTAATTTGCACTTCACTGTTACATATGGAAACATTACTTTAAAAACATACAAAGGGTAAAGGGAATAAGGGGTTAGTTCACATTATATAATTATTAACTGTACCAGTAAAATCAATTTTGCCTTATTTTTTCTTCTAAAATTGAATAGCTTGACGCTAGGGATTTTTGTCTTATTTAGCTAGAAATCCCAGTGGCTAGCATAGAATCTTGCATTAAGAAGAGGTTTATATGCATTTATATCTTGAATAAATAAAACTGTTTAAAAAAAGCAAAGGCTAAATAGCTGATGATGCAAACTACATGAGTATGCAGCAGTGAGCAGAATGACATGAGCCCTTAGCATCTATGGCATCACGTAAAGAACACTGACCAAGGGGAAAGGGACCAGGGCTCTAACCTGAGCTCCAGCAACCACTAGCTCTTAACCATGGACAAATAACTCCCTAATGAATTCATTCACTTACGTATATTTATAGTGCACCTGCTGTTTGCCAGGAACCATGTTGGCTGTGGGCACATACATAATGGGAACAATTTAGACAAAAAGTTTAGTGTAATGAGTGATAGGTAAATAATTAAAGCATTACAAAAATAGGGGGCTTCTCACCCCAGCCCTACTGAAATTTTGGACAGGATAATTCTTTGTTCTGGGGATAATGTTCTGTGCATTGTAGGAGTTTACCAGCATCCTGGCCTCTATCCATTAAATACCAGTAGCACCCTCCTCTTCAGCTGTGACTATCACAAACATCCCGTTGGAGGTAAAGAAAATCCCTCTTTTTTTTGCAGTTGAGAATCACTGCAATAAAGTGTCAAACATGCTCCACTGGGAGAAGTTCAAAGCCTAAGGAAAAGGTAGGCAGGGGCAGCTGAGTTTACCGGAGTCACAGAGACTTGCCAGAAAAAGACATTGAGAATTAGAAGAACAGCCAGGCAAAGAAGAGGCAGGAGGAGACTAAGGGAAAGAACATTCCTAAGCAGAAGGAGCAGTATGGCAAAGACCTGGAAGAAAGAGAGACTAGGGTAAGTTTCAGAGACTAATGCAAAGGAGAAGAAAGAGGAAAAGGGCCTGAGATAGGCTGGCAAAGGGGGCAATGAGAAGCCAATGGAGCATTTGGAGCTTCAGTTTCCACACCTATATAAAATGAGGGGTTGGACTAGATGATCTGAAGAACTTTCTATCTCTAGCATTCATGATGCTTCTTCAGGTATGAGCAAACGTGTTAACATCTTACCATTGTGCTTTGTATTGCTTTTTGCATCATTTCTTTTTGATTCTCTTTTAAGTCTTCTCTTATTCCAAAAGTGACATAAACTTCAGCCTCAGTGACGACTTTATTATAAAAATATCTGTTAAACAATAATACCATAAAATTGTTTTGCTAACATGGTTACAATAAATAATAAAATTCAGATAAAATGTAACAATTTCAAATTATATAAATCACTGATACTCTCTAAAGTATCTTGCATACACTATTACATTTCATCCTCATAAAGCTACAGTAATAAAGCCAAAGTACTGGTTTTTATTACTATGTGCTAGATAAGAAAACTGATCTTGAGGAGATCAAAAGACCTCAGGTCCAGGGCCCTTTCCTACAGGACACATTACCTCCTTGACGATTTTGCTATCAGTGGGTAAACTACCCCTGTTTTCCTTTACATCTTTATATACAGCATGTCCAATCTCACTCTTCTGTAAGTTCTTTTTAAAAACTCTAACTGCGTATTTCCTTTTAGTTTAGAGTTAAAGTAAACTAAAGGAAAATTTCTACATAGCAAATAATACCATAGAAGAGCTAACTTTCCTTATTCATAGGATGAATAAATAAAGTATCTCCATCAAAAGAAGGAAGTTTCTATAATTCTCTGACAAGTGAGCCTTTTGTGTTCACTTATACTAAGTGACAAACACTGTATTTTAGGAAAATGCTAATAAGAGAGGCAGTACAGAGTATTTGAGGGCACAAACTCTGAAACCAGATAGGCCATGAAACTTAGTAGCTATGTGATCTTGGGCAAATTGCTTAACATATTCACACAGAGTAGACAAGTAGTGATTCTACAGCATCTTACTACACTGATGGACAGAACTGTAACGGGGTATGTGGGGGGGATTTGGTGAAGGGGAACCCTAGTAAACATAATATTCTTCATGTAATTGCAGATTAATGACAACAAAAGTAATTAATTAAAAAAATTGCTTAACATATTGTACCTCTGTTTTTTCATTTGTAATATGGAGATAGTAATGTATCTACCTCATAGTTTTCATAAAAACTAAATGAGCTAATACATACAGAGTGCTTAGAAAAGTGCCCAGCACAGATAGTTATGTAAGTTGATTATTGTTATTAATAACTGCAGATCGCTTGCAAAACTAACTCTAATTCTCTACCTGCTCCATGTACCCACCACCTTTGCAGGTCCTTGCTTGCCAAAGTGTGAAGGAAGTCTATTTCCTCTGGTCTGGTCTTGTTACTTGCTTTAGACAAAAGAATGTGGTGGAAGTGATGGGGTGCTAATCCCAAGCTTAGGCCTCAAGAGGCCTTTTATGCTTCCACGTTCTTTCTCTGAGAATTGCTGCTATTACAGGCTAGCCTGCTGGGTGACAAGAGACACACATAGTCCAATAATCCTTACAGTTTCAGTCAACAGCCAGTCAACTGCTAGACAAACTGTAAGACCTCCTAGACCAGCCAGACCCCAGCTGACTTTCCAACTGACTACAGGCACATGGGCAAGCCCAGATGATGACATCAACCTGGCCCAGATCAGCAGAACTGCCCAGCTGCCTCATAAATGGTTGTGGTTTTAGCCATTGGGTTTTGAAGTAGTTATGCAGCATTAGCTGGCTGATGAAGCCATTAGAAAAATGACAAGAAGTGAAGGCTTCATATCGCAGACCCAGTATCCTAAGGCATGCTAGTTCCTAAATATACGTAATGAACTTAAATCTTTGCAAATTTTTTGCTGTTGAGTGACTAACAAAGCTAAAATCAGAGTAAACAAATAAACTATAGGCATGATCTTAAAGGCATGGAAGGCATTGCCAATAAATCACAGATCTCAATAATATCTAATGTATTAAATCAACAAATTGTACACACTAAACTTGCACAATGTTATATGTCAGTTATATCTCAATAAAGCTGGGGGGGAAAATCACAGATCTTACTTTGGGCAACTATCACAAACCAGAGTTGGAACTCAGTTTAGCTAGATATCATCTGAAAAAAATTAACTTTCTTACCTTGCTTTTATAGTAATTCCAAAATTATTAAAGTTCTTATAGCCAATGAAACTATTTTCTGGTTCTATTATGACAGAAAAATGAGGCAACACTGAAAATAAAAATAAAAAGGCAATATTACCATTAAAGTGACAGTAGCCTCCTTTCTGGTATAGTTGGACAAACTGCAATATCAACACAACATATACCTTGTTTTTATCATTGTTATCATCATCAACCAACAATATCCCTCGGAAGCCTCCCACTCTACCAATTGGAGGTCAGTCTAGCTCTATATACTAGAAGCACTTTGCTTATTCTTTGATTACAGCATTTATTATAGGCAATTATTTCCCTCACTAGAGTATGGGCTCCTTGAAAACAAAAAGGATTATACGTATCTTTGTATATCCCTCTCTCTCACCCTTCTTATATGTCTTAAACATTAGTATCTGCTCAACAAATGTTTATTAAATTGAAAATAGAAAAGGAAAATTCTTCATTATTTAACTTTCCCTCTTTTGTTTAGTACACAAAACCCATCCAGTCTCCAAATTCCAACAGAAAACTCTGACTTCAAAAGTCAGGGCAGAAAGGAAGGAGGTTTTTTCTCTCTCTTTGGTATCTTGATTGCCCAAGAGAAAAAAATTTCCCACCTAAAATGTCACTATCTTTTCTTTCTACTAACTCAGACTGTGTATCAGGGCTTATAGATTCTAATTCCATTAACCTGCTCAACAGTTAATAGAAAATTGGGTTATTGAGTGACCCGGATATGTATGATGGACAAAGACTGACTCACAAGTGTTAAGTGAAGTAGTAGATTTCAGATACAGCTCCTGTGTTTTCTAGATAGTAGAAGTAAAAGACTAGAAGGCTAGAAGTAAAAGTAAAACTTTCGAGAAGACTAGAAGTAAAAGAGGAACGCAGTTTGTTGCTCTGGGCTGCATTCCTGTTATCGAAGATCAAGGCCGGTGTGTTTTTTCCAGAATATGAGGTGGAGGAAAACATTGCATCCTTTCATCTAATACATATGTGTTATGTCGTAGGCACACTCCTATCAAAGGGATAGACCAGTGAACAAGAAAGATACAAACCCTGTCCTTAATGAGCTCATAGTCAAGCATTGAAGACAGTGATTAGCAAAAAATTACACAAATAAACACTTAAACACAGTTATGAAAAATTTGATACAATTAAATACAGGGAATACTTCCCAGGAAAGAGAACTTAGGGAATGGCTTTGCTGAATAAATGGCTTTTCAAGTGAGACTTGAGACATGAGTAGGAGTTGGCTAGTCAATAAAGAAGAGGAAAAGTATTCTAGGCAGATGGAACATCATGTGTTAAGTCACCACTGCTGGAGGGAAGGGAGGGGATGAATGGCATAAATGAGGCTGAAGAGCAGGTCAGTAGGGCCAGCTCAAAATAAGGTTTTTGATTTTCATTGTCAAAGGAATGAGGAGTTCTTGGGAACTTTTCCATAGTGAAATGACATGATAAAATTCACATTTCAAGATTGTTTTGGCCAATAACAAATGATAATAGCTTGAGCACAGAAAGCAATCACACTTCTGCAGTAGCCCAGGAGGGAGACTGGTGATGAATTGATGAGGATGGCTGCAGATAATAAGAGATGAATGAATTCTAGATATGTTCAGGAAGCATCAAAAAAACTTGGAGGAAGGGAGATCAGGTAGGTTTATATGTTATTGAAAGCCTATAATCTTTAAAGTTGAGTTTCATTATAACAAATTTGTTTTGTTGCTGTTTTGTTTGTTAATTGTTAAAATTTATGTATTTATTCTCCATATTATCATGAGTCTCCTGGGGAATAAAAAAATGACTTCAAGCATAAGAAAGTTAAATTTGTTATCAGAGCACACAAATAGTCTAGTAAACAACAACAAGAAATTGAGAGATTAGGCTATTTATGTTAATTATTAGTTCATTAATATGATTGATTTCAAAATAAGAATATCTTAGATTTCTAGATAAATATATTAGGAATTTGTGAGCCAGAAGGAAAATAGCCCTGGACTAGGGGTAAGGAAATCCAGTTTTTTAGTTCTGTCACTAATTGGTTATAATGACTTGAGTAAATTATCTATTAGTCTTACTGGGTTCCACTTACTTCATCTCTGCTTGTTTAAGTTTCTCCTAAAATCGTAATTCTGGGAGAGCTTAACTAGTCAAGCTCCTTTGGGGAGGAGGTCCTTCCCAGCCGCATGATGAGCATCCCAAGTCCAGAGAGTGGATAGCCTACTGTTCAAGGTTGGCAAGGGCAGGCTGGAACTAGACCCTAGGGCATTCCAAACCCACCATTCCCCCACCCTCCTCAGCAAGTACTTCTAAACACATCAGCAAGGCTGCCTCATCTTCATCTGGGAATGATTCATAGTTCATTAGTGAAAAGGATTATTGCAAAAACACTACTTTTTTTACAGGTAAACTTTCAATTGTCAGAAATTACCATATTCTTTAATTTCAAAATATGCGGTTCCAGTTGTTGAAAAGTCCTCTTTATATTTAGCTTGAATTGTCCACACACCATATCTGTGGAACAAAGTATTTAAAATTACTGATGTCATTAAATAATTTTAATGTATTCAGAAGAAATCTAATCAATTCTTGTTTTAAAGAGGGAAAAGTATGTAAAGATGTATTTTATCTAAGTAGTATATTTTATTTGTGGCATGTTTTAAGCAATAAACAGAAATAATTGAGCATTTCAGGGTAGTAGAAACTTTTTAGTAATTTGTTTTAATCAATTTAGTTTTTCAGATATTGCGCTATTTTCTCCGGTATTTTATCTTAATATAGTTAATAGCTTTGATTTGAAGAGCTAATGATACTTGAGAATTAACTTAACCTTGACGCATAATTATACTAACATAATACTAAAACCCAAACTATAGTAGGAAATTCATAATAGTGTCTCTAGAAACATATAATACAGATCAAGCCTGTGACCAAATGATGAAATTGACACCTTACATAAAACAAGTTATGGTTGGAGACAAAGTAAGGTTTGTTTAAACAGGAAAATGACCTGGGTTTAATTAACAACCTTCACCAAAAATATTAACTGAGCACTGGATTAAGCACTGGAGATAAAAAATTAACATGATAAAAAGTACCTGTCTTTATAGAGCTAGAGGTAATAGCCCCTGGGAGCTCCAATCCCCACTTTTCCATTTATGAGCAGATTGGGCATGAGCAAGTTGCTTAACCTCATTTGTGAAATGGGAAAAATATTATCTGCCTTGCATATTGGCTCTGCAATCAGTAAACTTACTATTATGGATATCATTATCATCATTGATTCAGTAAGCATTTATCAAGTGTCTGTTGTGTTGAAGTGCTAAAGATACAACAGAGAGCAATACAGACAAGACCCCTGTCTTCAAGGAGCTTATGGTCTAATGGGGAATGAAAAGGTAAGTAAGTAAATAAATAAATAAATGCAAAATTGACTTAAGTGCCATGAAGAACATAAAACAAGAGAGTAAAAGTACATTTTATTGTGTGTCTACATTTGATTGTGTGCCCAGGGATAATAAATTCCTTTGAAAAGGGAGTATTTGCCCTGTATCTTAAAGAATAAGATACATGTTTCAGAGTGAAGCATGGGAACCACATCAGGCTTTTTGACTGATAGTCTATTAGATTCCCTGAAGAGAGAAGCATTGATGGTTTTGATGAAAAAAAAAATGGAGGACTATTTTGCCTTTTCCAAATTCTTATTTCTACATGTAAAGAGGAATGGTGAAAAGTATTTGGGGGTGGGGGTGGGGATTTTGCCAGAAACTGAGCCTCACTTTACATTAGACCTGAAAAGATTTTGCACATCCTCATTTCTCTCACACTGACACCCTTTGTTAACACTAGGTGGCTCCATTTGACTGGTTATCTGCCTCACAACCAAAAAGATCCAGATCTGCTTTTTAGAGAAAACTAATTTATTAACAAATATTTTTAAATACTTAGGACTTGATGGAATCTTGAAGTCAGGAAAAGAGATAATTCCAGTATAATCATTTTCTTCTACAATGTCAACTTCTGATCCTTCGGGATCCTTTGAATGAAACAGACAACTTCAAAGCACATAAACCACATTAAAAAAAATTAACATTACTTTATCTCCAATCTACAGAAATATTTACTAACAAATATCCACGTCTTCAAATTAAATATGAAGGAGGAAGATCATTTATACATTGTGGAGGGCAAATATGATTCATTTAAACCACTTTCCTCCCTCTTTTTGGACTCCTCTGTCTTCTGACACACACACACACACACACACACACATACACACACGTCTATAATCAATGTTCAAAGTATATGAAGAGACTCAACTGTATTGTATAACTAAGAAGAGAATTGTAATAATAACTGATGTCATAATTAACCAAATGTGAACTTACAGGCTTTGTAAGTACCAGAACCTACATTTCATATTTGTCCATTTTAACTTTTCCAAAGCACATATACTGAAAAAAGTGCATTTATTACCTAGAAATTTTGTAACTATGCAATATAGAAATTTTGAACTTGATTAAACACTCAAAATGACTAAACAAACTTGTATGTTTTCATAAGGCTTTCTTTTGTGTGTGGGTTTGACAATGATTGAAAATGAGGCTTTCTACTTTCTTTGGACTGTATGTGGAGGTCCATTCTGATCTTAACCAGTAAATTTACCACCATATGCCATGACTGTGAAATTCATGTTCAGGGTTTAAGATACTTTTTTTTCCTCAAGCTCTGTCCTGAACAAGAATTAGAACTGTAGCTAAGTATTTCCTGGGCTGTTCTTTTTCCATCCTGCACTGTGCTTCTAAGATGATCTCTCTCCAATACTATTTTTAGGACCCTTCCTGTACAGACTCTCCACTGCTCTGAAGTCAGATTCCTCAATCCCCTCTTCTGGGCAGTTTACATGGGATTACTGGCATTCATTCTTCCTTGTGTGGGGCCAGGATTTCGCATTATTCATGTTCAACCATGGAGAGGGGAAAGAGGTGGGATAAAGAGTGTCTGTCCACATCCTCTAATATTTTCTGACAGAAAAGGGCATGCGAGCTGACATTGCCTCTCCTTACTTCTCTTCCACATTTCCTAAGTCAGTCAGCAGTTTATTTACTATCCTCATCCTCATTTCTTACTTCTTCCTGCCACCGTGGCTTAACTCAAGCTATTTCAGAACCTGGGATGTTCTTCATTATTTTTAACAAACCCATGTTTATTCCTTTCTCTGAAACCCTGCTCTTGGCTCTATCTAGTCCATTCCAGAAAAGGATTGCCTCACGCCTCACTCTCACACCATTTAGTCTTCCCTCTGAGCTCCTGTATCATTTGCCCTACTGTACAATTTGTTTGGTTTATGCTCTAGTATGGTTTTGTTCTCCAGTATCTACTCATATATGTATATCTGTTCTCCTAAACTCAAATAGTGTGCTCCCAAGGAAAAGACTCACAGCTCCTAGAATCCTGCTTTAAGACAATTCAATTCATGCCGCCCCATGATTATGGACTGGTAAATTCACACAGAGGTCTGATATTTATCTCCACCCTGTTAATCACCTTCCTCATTTCTGTCGATGCCACCCTTACTCACTCCCTCCCCTCACCGTCTCATCCAGGCAGTCGGGAGAGGCCTCTCAGCATTTCTGCTACTGCCAGAATCACACTGACCAGCATCTAGATTTCTGCAGCAGCCCAGAGTGGTTTCCTTTTACACAACACTTCACTTCCACTATAGCAATGCTCATGACTACAAATTTCCCTCATAACCTGTCTTAGTCCCCTGCAATAAATCTACAGGTGCTCCCTACAACCTGCCACTTGAAGTTCTAACTTCAAGGTCTGGCCTGATTTCTAAATCTCATGTACCCTCTGTTCCCAGAGATGCCTCTGCTCTTCAATCAGATGGCTTTCTTCCTCACCATCCCTTTCAATTTGGACTGTCTTCTCCATTGTTCCTTTTCTAGCAATCCTCCCACTTCCTCTACACAAAATCTAAATTCCACTTACTGTTCTAGGTTCAGTTCAAATTTCACTTCATCCTTGAAATGGCCCCTGGCCTCCCTGATCTCTTCTCTGGACTCCTGCAGTTTACAGTCTATATCCATAGTTATCCACCACAGTCTTGGAACATTAGTACTTTACAAGTAATTCATTATAAAGTAGTCAGATGTTAAAGTTTGTGAAAGGTTTATGGTTTTGTAAGTTATAAAGGATTCATCATCACTTTTTTCCTTTTTTCCACCACATTAAAATAATTAACATTAGTTTATTACTAATCTACAGAAATATTTACAAACAAATATCCATGTCTTCAAATTAAATGTGAAGGAAGAAAATCATTTATATGTTGTGGAGGGCAAAGATGGTTCATTTAAGCCACTTTTTTCACCTATGATCTGGTGAGGTTTTTGTGTTTTTGTTTTTTTTAATAGGAGAGAAGGTATTGCAGCCTATTGTGAAGGATCATTACTAATACCCCTACTGTTAATAGGTGAGAGATTACTTCCCCACAAAAACTTACAGAGTTGTGACACAAACTGGGTAAGACCATGGAAATTTATTGCATATGTGCATATCACCTATTATACATGGCATGACTGATAAAAAGTTGATAACTGTGGATCTTTATCTAATGGTTTAGCACTACTTTTCAGGTATTAGTATGTTAGCTTCTAAACTTTAATTTCCTTAAATGTTAGTGTCGTAGATGGTAATTCTTTACTTTGTATTGTAAAAATAAAAAATCTCATACAAGATAGATATTCAATTAATTTTAAGTGATTGAATGATGTTCTTTAAGAAAGAAATTATGAAGGACATATTTAAATGATTTCGTTTCAAATCATAACCTGCTCAGATTTAATTTTTATACCTTTTTTGCAGATGTCTATTGCAGAGGTGTAGACTTTAAATGTTACACTCAAAGGAAGTTAAATAACTTTATGTGGTATTAGGGCAGGGTTATGGAAAATGTATCTTGTATTGAAGATGAGTTAAATTATTATTTAAATAAGTAACATACTTACTATAAAAGTTAAGACAGTTTCTCTTTTGGCTGGCTTCAAGTCATCATTCAGTGAATAAACTCTAACCTTTACTGTAAGAATAATTGACATCATCAAAAACTGCTAAACACAAGGGTATTTTGATTTTGCACAATAATCATCTTTAAAAGAGATAAGTCTCATTAAAAATCAATACAGTCAATACACACACTCATAACTAAAAGAAAGAAAAAGCTAGTTTGTGGACATATACATACTAGATTCTTGTCTTTTGAAGAGAATCATTTTGGATTTCTTTAAAAGAGCTAGTGAATTTAAAGTACAGTTCACTTTATTAAAATATATTTACATATAACCTTTTGGAACACATCTATAGTACAAAATAAGGTGTATCTGTAATGAAGCCATGTTTATCAAGAATTTCATAGTAGCAAAATAGGGATGTCTACCATATGAATATATGGGAGTACAATGTATTGTCCCATATTAGAGTTAAAGATTTTAATAGAAAATTAAGTAGTTTAATTCAGACATAATACTCCTCCACTTACAAAATCCAAGAAGCCCCAAAGTATCTCTTATCGTTGCTAAAGGCAGCTTTATATGTATGTATGTTCATTGAACCATATCCTACAATTGTTCTCTTATTATTAAAAGAGTAATGGCAAAGGTTCAACAATGATTAGTTTTCTTCCATTTCTTTCTCTTGGTTTACAGATCCCACCTTTAAACAAACACATCTGCTTAGCTTTTAAATCATGGTTGCTTGATACATGCTGATCCAGTTTCTCCCAATGACATACTGTAATTTCTCTAAGGTTTTTCTGTTGTTCAAATCATTTCATTGCCAAAACTTTACCCACAAAATAAAATCGAACTGGTGCCATAAAACTTTTAAAGGGTCACTATTATGCAAAACTCTACATAAAAAGCAACATTGAGCTCTCTAAAATTGGTTTTTCTAAGACTAAAGATCAAAGCAAAATGCCCAGTAGGCCCCCCTGTTCAGCTGTCCCCTCCCCACGCCCTTGTCTCCCACCTTAAGACCTGCTTCCCACCTTAAGAATACACCTGGTCCAGGCCTGAGCATCAGTGGAATGCTGCCAGAGGCAGAATGCCACAAAGTTAAGAGCTCAGGCCCTGGAATCCAAAACTTGGGTTTCACTCCTGCCTCTGCCACTTTCTGGTGTGACCCTGAGTGGGATACTTAATCTGTTTAAATCTTAGTTCCCTCATCTGTAAAACAGGACTGCTAGTATCTGCTTCACAGAGATGTAGAGAACTAAATAAGACAAAGTTTTTGCATAGCCTGCCACATAATAACTACTCAGTAAATATTTATTTATTTTTATTTTATTATTATAATTTCTATAACTACTATTTGCCTACTTTTTAACTAGTTTGTGTTTAGGTTAGAAAATTAATCTTGCCTTCCCAGCAATGGTGCATCAGAGGTGAGATCAATAAACATTTTTGTACCAAAGATATGGCTGCTCAAATTGATTTTTAAAAAGTTATTAACTTTTTTTAAAGTATTGAGTGCCTTCTATGTGCAGGCACAGAGATACGGTAGTGAGACAAAACAGACATGGAAGTCTTCCATTGCAGTGGAGGAAAGAGACAAACACATGACCACACATATATGTAAAATTCCAGGGCTGGGAAGCACTACACAGGACACTGCCTGGCTTTCAAAGAGTGTAGAAGGTTTGAAGCAGTCAGGGAGGTTAGGGAAGGCTGATCTCTATGGGATTTTAAGGGTTGAATAGGGATGAACAAGGCAAAGGAGGGGCATGGATATGCCAGGCAGAGGTACACAGGCCTTACTATGTATGTGAAAATAGTGTGAAAAAAAACATGGAAGTCTTCCATTGCAGTGGAGGAAAGAGACAAACACATGACCACACATATATGTAAAATTCCAGGGCTGGGAAGCACTACACAGGACACTGCCTGGCTTTCAAAGAGTGTAGAAGGTTTGAAGCAGTCAGGGAGGTTAGGGAAGGCTGATCTCTATGGGATTTTAAGGGTTGAATAGGGATGAACAAGGCAAAGGAGGGGCATGGATATGCCAGGCAGAGGTACACAGGCCTTACTATGTATGTGAAAATAGTGTGAAAAAAAACAACTGAAAGAGGTCAATTTGGCTGGTATCTACAGACAAGGAGAAGAATGATAGGTGATAAAGCCGGAGGGAAAGGCAGGACACAGGCTACGTGAAATTGAAGGGTTTTGGGTCAATAGTCTAAAGGCCTCTGTCCTGTAAAGCCTTGAAGATTTAAACCTTTATCCCAAATATGCCTATACTAAAAATTTCTCAAGGATCTTCATATTAAATGTGTGGATTAGAGCTATAAATAGCAAGATTTAATCAATTTTTAAAAGAATTACTTTGAAGTAATTCTTTTTCTTCTGTGTAAGTAAGGCTTTGTGCTGCTCCATTAAATAATAATGGAAAGCACTTTCCTGGTGCTTGCTTTGAACTAGTTACTATTTTAAGTGCTTTGTGCATATGAATTCACATAACCCTCACAACTTTGTGAGGTAAGGTTCATTATTATCTCCATTTTACAGATGAGAAAGTGGAACTCATAGAGGTTGAGTAAGAAGTGCAGTCTCAAAGCTCGTAACAGGCCAAGCTGGGATTTGAACCCAGATAATCTGGCTTCCCAGAGGCTTCTTTTAACCACTGTACCTTTCACTATGAGGTCAGTATTTAAAGGGAAGTTCTCCAGTTTTTCTCTGTGATTAGAATAGATTAGGATGCCATATCTTCTCACAGTAAAGTCCTGATAGAAAAATAAGAAAGAAGGCTGTTCTTAAGGAGAATCTTAATAGCTAAGCAAGATCCCAGGCTCTGGGTATCTGACTACTTATTGGATAGACTGAGGACTCCAGGTGGCAGGTAGTGTCAACAGGACCTAATTAATGAAACATTCAGTAATATAGGAGGAAGATTAGAGCAAGGATATGTTTGTTTCTAGGTATGAGTATGTTTAAAAGGGCCCAAGCTTTATGGGCTTCATGTATGCTGTCATCTTCTTGGAGTCTAGAGATGGTACTATTCCAGTGATGATAGTCTGTCCAAGTCAAGGGCAATATCCCACCCTCTCTAGGCCTTTCCTTTCTGAGCCAATCCTAACAGGTGCTCCTACTGAAAAGGTAATGGTGTAAGCCTGCTTCATTCGACTGCTTCATTCGACTACCGTCATCAACATATATTAACATTTAGCAAGTATGTACTATGTGAAAAGTTTTTCATCAAAGCTGGCTGGGCCTGACTCCCTTCCTCTGTCCCTCACCAATAAAAGCATTATTAAAACCCCATAATTCCCCTCCAACACATGGTTCCCTCATAATTCCATCTCTCACATGCTCAAAAGTCAGTGACGGCGAGAGGGAAAGATGAAGGAACTGAAGACTGCAGACATGTGAACATATCTGAGCAGGATTCACACTTTACCATGTTTTACCTTTGGTTCACTGGGGATAAATCCAGCCATTCCCCAATCACAGTTTTGACTGGCTGTCCTGCCCTTTTTCCCTCTAACAGAACCGTGAATATGAAACAATGTTTTAATAGGAACTTTTATAAGTAGATCCCCTTAGAAAATTAATGTCCATATATTTTGTGATCTAGTTTATTCTTTGCTGAACAGCTGGATGTCCTGGATTGAACTTGTTTTCTGAATTTGAGGAATAGCTCCACTGTCAACGGAACTTTTTCTAATGAATGTGGGTCTATAATAAATTATTCTTCCACTGTCAAAATTATATTTGTGATTACAGCTTGTACTTATTTAATAAAAACATTTCAGTTTTTAAAAATCTTTTTTCCTACATGGAAATAACTGATGTCTCAGATAATGCAATTGTTTATTTTATAATTTTTATACAAATTTACAATTCACATTTAAAATCAATTTTCCTACAAATTTACAATTCATATTTAAAATCAAATTTAGATTTAAAATTAAATTCCATTTAATTGTTTATTTAGCAATTTCCATATAAAGTTAAAATTAAAATATTCATAAGTGTAAAAGTCTAACTTGCTTTTGAGCAAGTTAGAAAACTGTCTCCACTTAATTTGCTCTGAGTGTTAAGGAAAGTCTATAATATCGTGTCAATCCCACCATCACCCCCAGCAAAGAAAGAAGCATCTTACACCCTACCTGACTGGTCTGGAGTGTAAACAGGTTTGTCTGTGTGAATGAAGAGAAATCCATTGTCATAGGTTATTGGTATTTTTTTTGATTTTGAAAAGTGTTTTGATAAAACATCCAAATACACATGTGAAACTGGGTTTTGTCCTCCAGACAACTGTTTGGGTTGTATCTGCAAAAGAAAATGTTAACAGAAGAATATAATCATTTTAAGGTTATAATACATATTGACTTTCTAAATATCACTGTAATCTCATTAGAACAAAACATGAGAACATGTACTTAATCATTTAAAAAGTAGTTGAGGAACCAGAATAGTAAATAAAGTTTGCCTAAAGCCCTTCAGTGTCAAATATCACAATAAAAATTTAGCTTAAGCAATTTAAAGTCTTTTTGGTTCCATGTTTCTTAAATTTTATATGCATTTAGTAAAACTACTATGATAGAAGCCCTCTTAAACTTTCACTTCATCACCCACTGGATTAGCTGACTATCTTCATTTCTTCGGTTCAACATCCTGACCAATGCTCAGGACACCTTGCTCTTTATTTCCATTCTTCTGCTCCCACAGGTTGAGCTACATGTTTTCTCATTTGTATATGTAATTATAATTATCCACTTGACATTGCATGATATGCAAACTTAATACATACAAAATAACAAGGAAAGAAAAGTTTTCTATGAAAACTTAGGCTTTAGAAACATGGGATAAAACTCAAAACACTAAAACCAACTGCTGTGGAATTAGATATGTGAGAGTACTGTAGAAGTTTGAAAAACAATAATCTATTAAGATTCTGCACTCTGCACCTGTCTTTACATTCTTTTTCTGAGAAACAAACCGTAGAACAAAGTTGATAAAGTGTGACATAAATAAATAAGATTTGAAACTAACCAGTGGACCCATACTTAAAGAAAAGACCTTGGCACAACATCAAACAATTGGCGAATAAAGACACATTATAATATTAAGATAAGATTAAGTGCTGAAGATATGCATTGATTTTTATGATTTCCTAACTTAATATACTTTTCAATGAACCATCTAAGCACTGTTCAAGAGAACTTTCTGTGATGATGGAAATGTTCTGTAGCTATGCTATGGAATACAGTGGCCACCAGCCACATGTTGGTATTTGAGAACTTGGACTGCAGCTAATGTGACTGATGAACTGAATTTTTAAATTTTAGTTAATTTGGTTGATTTAAATTTAAGGCTAACAACCCACACATCTAGTGGCATTGGATAAAAGTGTCTACCAAAAATAACACTTTTGGGAAATGTATTTTAATTCTTAATCAGTCTAATAATTGGAAGATTTGTTAAGAGATGAGAGCATTTACAATGAAGAACATTAATGAAAGAATTGGTTAGAATTTATTTAGATCAGTGTTTCTCAGACTTGAGTAATACACAGACCCATTTTAAAGAATAAAAAGTTCTGGAGGGCTCAGTGTTGACTTTTTATTATATGTAATATAATAAAAAATTATTTTTAATACAATGTTACTTAAACACATACAAACCTGAAATGGTATAATCTTCTTATGATTATGGCTTTTATGTAATTTAAAAAATCAAATGGATTTACAGAATAAATTCAGATGCTAAATATCAATATAATTCTAAATTTTAAGCTCTATATAAAATTTCAAATTTTAATTTCTTTTTAAGAACTCATTTTAGAGAAACTATGGTCTAAATGAATCTCAGAGCCCCTCCTAAGTCTAGTAGTCTTTGATTTTCTGGTTCTTTATGTTTGAATTTATATTAGAATTTAAAACAACATTTTGATTTGATTCACTTAGGTGAATAAATATTAAGTATAAAAGTTATTTTTAGTTATCAGAATTTTTAGTAAGAAATGAGTTGCAAGCACTTCTCTAACCAAGCTATACTACCATATCTTAATAGAAGGAAAAGTTATATGATCTGGTTCTTGTATTAACTACAGGTTGTCAATGAGAGCTATTCACTTTAACAATCAATAATTTTATTAGTTTTAGTAGCTGTAACTGAAGAATATTGGAGTTTAAACAAATATTCAATAGCATCCATTTTCTGTAGGCAATGCATTACATAGCATAGATCAACAAGAAAATAAAATTACATGCATTGCTCAAAGAGCACATTCTACTAGTTAGAATTTTCTGTTTAACTCATATTTTCCTTAGTGACTGAAACTTACTAATCACACGGTTGGTAGAGTGGTATAAATAAATCATCACCTCTCTAGGCTATCAATATTCAAACTTTGTACACATTTTATTGAGAATAAGTCTGTGTGTATAAAGAAAATGAAAGATAAATACATACTGTTAAGATTGCAGAGTTTTGGAATTTATTTTCTGTGGATAAAGTAACATACGCTGAAGAATAACTAAATGTTTTATCAGGATAACTTTTAATAGAGATTGTTGCATCAAAGGCTTCAGTGTATCCATAAACTTGAATTACAATATTTTCAGATGCTCCAACACGTAATACTTTTGGTGCTGAAATGACATACCTGTTGAAACAGGAAAAGAAAAGGACCAGTATCTATATGGTATGGTTTGTTATACTTCTGATTTTTTTCATCTCACTTGAGAGACTCAGTTTAAAATAGGCACATTTTCTCAAATTAAAAGTGAAATCTTTAAATCAAAACTTATTTGTGATCTATGATAATTTCAGCACGGTTTCCAAGAAATAGCTTGGAACTAGTAAGACTTGAGAAGTAGAGCTGGAGATTCAGTGAACATTTAGAAAAGAAATAATAGCAGATTCCTTCAGCTATGGCAGCAAAGGAAGACTTTTAATGGTGTCGACTGGAACGTGTAAATGGGTCAGTATTTTTGCCCAATGAAGAGAAAAGCAGCATAGGCACCAGTGATTGAATTCCAGCTCTGCCGTTTACTGGATGAGCAACCATGATAAATCCCAACCCTCTCTGAGACTAAAATAGTTTACCTATGAAAATGTCATTTTCTTTACCAGGATGTGATAAGGATGAAATGAGAACATGTATTGAAATCACCTACCATGCTTAGTACTCAATAAATGTTACAATTCACTAATTTCACTAAATTAGATGAAAGGGAGTAATCTTAGAAGTATAGTGCTATACTGGTGAGTAGATAAAGAAAAGGATAGAATAAAAGGGAGCTGGGGAAATGCAATTAGAAATAAAGTAGTGACGGAGGTCTTTGAAGAATGAGTAATAACAATCATACAATAAAGATAGTAACAGCAATTGAGTAGTTACCACATATCAGAGGCTGCATCAGCACTTTATATACAACTCTGAATCTTTACAAAAGGCCGATGATGTAAATACTATTATTATGCCTGTTTTACAAGTGATAAAAGATTAATTTGACGAAGAACACATGAGTTATAAGTGAATGAGGCAAGACTCTCATTTACATTCAGGTCTCTCAGTTGTCACATTATAATTAAGGTCAAGGTTACAAGCTATGTTCACAACCATAAGCTGTTCTCTGTTCTATTTTTCACGTGATTTATACAAGAATGGAAACGAATCTATAAAAGCTTTTGAAATAAGAAATTTAAAATATGCACACTTCATTAAAAGAAAACTTACAAATATAAACTAGGTTATCTATATCACAAAAGTATCTAATTTGAATACTGAGGACTACATATGCTCTTGCATAGAAAAAGAAGTGTGTTTCAATCCAAAAGGTCATAGTGATTGACTAATTCAAGTGGCTGACTGAATAGGCCTGGAGGGCATCCACCACCTTGCCAGGAAGAATTACTGCAGGCTCCAGTCAACAATACGACATTTAAAAAGGCTTTGACACCAGTAAGTCTTTAGTAGTAACTAAATGGACTTGGAAGCAGTTAAATCCTTGAATCATCTGGCAATTCTCCTGCATGACAACTAGTTTGGAACCATTTATAGACAAATTGTAAAAGAGGGCAAAGAATCTCTAAACTTCCAACCATCATCTGAATTCCCCATGTACTTACCCAGGAACAACGGAATATGAGAAAAGTTAAAGTTTCATGATAATAAGGTACCCTTACTCTGTGCTAGGCACTGTTTTAAGCACTTGACATACATAAACTCACTGTGTTGCTACAACCACTATGTGAACGTAGCATCTTATTCCCACTTTACAGATGAGGAAACTGATAATTAACTTGTCCAAGGTCACACAGCTAATTAGTTACAGAATTAGGAACTGAACCCAAGCAGCCTGTTTCCTGAATTAACACTTGCAATTGCTATGCTAAACTGAAAAGAGTTTTGCAATCAGAAAAGTCTAGGGGAAAAAAACTTTTAATGTCAGTATTCTCATAATTTAGAATATTTTCACTTTAATATTGTTTTAATTTTGGATTGTCTGTGTGGTAGTGGTGGTGAAGCATAAAATATTCAGAATTTAAAAGTCCCTGAAAGATGGTTCTGGAACCACCCTTCATATAGATTTTGGTCCTTATTGATTTATTAGTACCACAATCTATTCATAAAAAATTTTCATATTTTTCTTATTTTCTTGGAATAGTTATTGAGGATCAGGCCACCGAGCTTTCAGAGAAGCAAGAATGTTACTTTGGTCTCTACCTGGAATGTTCTTTCCCTAGCTGTTTGCATGGCTTGCTCTCTCACTTCCTTCCTTCAAGTTCTGTTGACTGTCCCCTCCTTAAAGAAACTTCCCTGTCCATGCTTCTAAATAGTGCTCCATCATTTCTCTATCCTTTCGATCTTTTTTTTTTCAGCACTAATGATTACCTGACCTTCTTTTCTCATTCATTCATTCATTTGCATCTCTCACTAGAAAGCAAGCTCTATATCATGGACTATATCCCCAGTGTCTATCATATGATAGGTGCTTAATAAAATTTTTGAATCTCCAGTCAATCAAATTAATTAATTAGTGTGTAAATGATGCAGTTTCACTTTTTTCACAGATAGAGAGGAGATGCTTATTAAAGCCAGTAGAGTGTGGTAGAAAGAATTCAGGACCATGGGACCAGGTTTTTGTCCCCATTCTACCACTAATATGAAGTTACTTAATCTCAATCTTGCTGAACTTCAGCCACTTGTTTCTCAAAAAGGAATAAATAAAAAGTCCCTACAGAACTGGGATGACTGTGGTCCTGTAAGAAAATCAGGTTAGGGGTGGGATAGTGCTAGGACATCCTAAGTTCATATATTTATAATATATTTTACATATTTATATGTACACATTTATGACAAACTGGAAAAAAATTGAAGTGGTTAAGAGGTATCCTTAATTCAAGTCCTGCTTCTGTGTCTCTCTAGCAGCATGACATTTGGCAAGTTATTTACCCTGTGTGGATTTATTCCCTATGAAATTGGTATATTCAATTAGATACACTCCAGTTCCCTTCAGTACTAAACTGCTATTTCTAGGTATGAGATAAATATTTTTAAGACATAGTTTAAAATGCACACTATTTCAACTAAATTGTGTGAACACTAAAATTTGTGAAGAATTAGTTCTAATTACAACAAAAGTTTTTCAAGTCACATTATCAGAATTGACCCTCAAGTAACCCTTGCTTTACTATGTACAGGACATGAAAAACACAAGAAAAACTATGCACCAAATAGAGATAAGCAATAAATGCCAAGAAAATTAATCTTGACTTTATTTTGTGCTTTTTTTAAGACAAATTTGAATAACTGCTTATCTACATTTTTATAAATAACAATCTCATAAAAGCTGTCATGTTGTTAGCCACTCATCAAATCAAATGCTTCCATGACTTTTCTCATTCAGAGATAAGACTATTGACTTGGTGTTCTTAGAAGTAGAAAGTCATTTTCAAATTAACACAGTCTGTTGAATTTACTTGTTACTAATAATGATGAAGATGCCCTGGAAAATGAAGATAGGTTCTTTTACTTACGTTTGTTCCTGTCCCCAACTTTTTCCCAGGAAGATTAAAAAACAAAGTATGCTCCAAAGGCCCATGGCTGGAGATAGCCATAAACCATAGATAGAACCTTCTTGAGGTTACTCTCCTTTTAAATAAACTGAACTTGAAGACTTTGAGTAAGTTAGTTTACTGGTTAATTATTAATGTCAGAAAGAGGAACTTCTACAAAGGAAAACTAAAATCAGAATGGAAACACCCTTTAATGCCCAGGAATAAAAGCAGGAGATATTTTATAGGGGTTTACACCTAGAGAATTTATTTTGATTAATACAAATAAAGGGATTCTAAAACGGAAGTTTGGTACTACGATGAATGACTCAAAGCTAGAAACCAGCAAATAGACAGCCTTTCCTCCCTTGACCAGGGCAATTGCTCTGATGTTGTATCTAATCTGTGAACAAGCATCTGGTAGATTCACTCTGATTCAACAGAGACCCACCAGGATTCAGTTTCAAACTGAGGTGACTTTAGAATGGGTCTGGTTTAGACTGTGCTCACAAGGTGGTCTTTATGGAGAAGTCCTGAGCAGTAGTGTCTTTGGCACTGGATAGGCCTAATGATGCAGAGGGGTCTATGGAATAATTCCTTGGTCCGTCCCAGTCTAGAGAAAAAGCTGAATATTAGGTAGACGACAAATTGTGCCCAGCAATTAAAATGCCATGCTGAAGCCTCTGGCATCATTCTCTAGGAAATAGGTAGCCAATCAAATACTTCACTATTTAGTAGGGAATGGATATCATCTAATATCTGTTAATTCATACACAAGTTCAAAATTTGCATTCATTCAGAGAATATTTTTCTTTTAAAAAATAAATATACCTTTCAGTGAGGATTTTAATAATTTTAATGTAAGAGCTCAAGGAAAACAAAGTTTATAACAAGTGAGTATGGTAATTAATTTAGAATGAAATAAAATTTCATCTTGAAGATTTTTATGTTTACTGTTCACTAGAAAATTTTCTATATGCTACCTTCCTTTAATTAGCACTCATTTTTACCTTAGTATATAATAGGTACTCTACTTTAAAGTAATAAAAATATTTCTCTAAATATTTTTCTGTAAGTCAGATGTATTATGCTTACATTGGCATTTCGTGCTTCGAATTAATAAGATTCTGTTTTATCTGCACTTTAGTACCGAAAGAAAGGCACACAAAGAAAAATTTGATATACAAACTTCACTAAAGATACCTTTACTATTGTGAAATAGTAAAAATCTGCTTTTACTGTCCAACCATCTAGCCTTTTTATTTCAAAAGGAAATCTGTAAAATGATTAAACTGGGTTGTGAAAGATGGGTCAAGTTAAAACAAACAAAGTACTTTGCCATCATTTTCGGGAAAAGCTATTTAGAATAAAGGGAGAAACTGAAATCATTGTAGATAACATTTGTATTTTAAGTGCAAGGAAGTTTGTTTGCTGGTGTTATAGAGTCAGTGTTGATAAATGGTACTTGCAAACTATTGGAATATTTCCTGGTAGAAAATGTTTTTAAAAATTATGGATCTCAAAGGATCTCCACTGGATCTTATTAAATCCAATGGATCAAATTATTAAAATCCAATGGATCTCAATTCTATTTAGGAATAGAATGGAAGTTCAGTAATTTATAGATTCTCAACTGTGTTTAAATTTTTTAAATTTGCCTTTTAAATATAGCTTAGAGACAGAGTCTTCTTCACATTTTAAAATGTTGACCTTTGTGGGGGTCTTTGACATTTACACAAGATACCCATCTCTGAAAGGGAAGAATCCAGGTCTGGCAGAAACTCTGGTGGTCGTCTGACCTTCCTCCTAAAGCGATCTCAATTCTACCCTCAGGATCCAGCCCAAATGACTCTGCTTAATTCACAAGGACCCTCCTAATCTGGGCCCTGCTTGGTTCTCCAGTCTCAGTGCCCCTTCTTCACTTCAGCCAAGTAGCTGAATTACTTGTTATTATCCCAACAGTATTATTATTATTATTATTATTAAATCACCATGACATGAAGGAGCTCCTAGCAGAGTAATAGACAGCCAAATTCTATTACTATTATACTTAAGTTATTTATACCCTCAATTTGTTGTGTCATCTGAAACATGGGTTATATACGGATTACCGCTACCAGCAGTGCAGTCCATCTGAGCACTCGGCCATAACATCCGTGTGAAAGGGAGTCTTGGGGTAGAAACCACATCCAGCTGGGGAACCTTATTAGTAAATCTCTCTCAGTAGTCACTGTCTTCATATATATTTAAATGGATTTAAAAAGACATTTAGCTACAGAAAGTGCATTGAAACTAAGTCTTATAGGAAAGTCCAATGTGTAAAATAGAGTAATGATGCTCCAGGTGAAGCCGAGTAGGGCGACCCTGTGTCTGCCTGTCTCCCCATGTGAATACTGAGGTGGCCACAAGGAGGCTAGTGGGAACCCTGGTATACCTGGACATATGGTTTAAAAAGCATTGATTTAAAGCACCAAATAACTCCTTCCTAGTGTTCTCGTTTCACCTGCTTTATTCCCGTTACTTCCTCTACCAACATCCCCAAGCCCAACTTGAGATTAATTTTTTAGCTGGTCAGGCGGGAGGAGAAACTAGTCTCTTTTCTCCTTGTGGCCAAGATCTGCTGCTTTAGCTGAAAATTAAAGTGATTTGTGTTATCAACCCCCAAACCTTCTAAAAGCCCCTTGTTTAATCACAATCCTGTACCTCTGTCCCACATTCTAGACCATGGTACCCCACCATCACATCAGGAATTCACCACAGACTGCAAGAGGCCTAGTAGAGGATAAAGAAAAGGTGAAAACTCTAGGTATAAACACACAAACTCTAAGTCTCAAAATACGCAAAACAATGCTATGACTGTAGACATTTATATTGGTAGTAATAATATAAACATGATTGTGAAAGGTAAATATTAAATCAGGACAGTCATCATATCTGGAAGGCGAAGGAGAATTTGTGGAGAGGGAAGCTTCCACTGTATCCATTACCGTTTGCTTTAAAGGAACATCTGAAGTCAGTATGGCAATACGTTACAAATAGTTTGGTAGTTTAGTGGTAGTTCTACTGGTGTTTGATGGGTCAGTAGCTGCACTTTTCTTAAGTTTTGAAATATTTCATTGAGAAAAAAGTACAGTTTGGAGTGAGGCAGGCTTGAATTCAAATTCTGGTTCTAGCATGTGATTTGGGGCAACTTAAGGAGCCCTTGGAACCTCATTTTTGTCATCTATAAAATCAAATAACAACTTGTAAGAGCTGATGTTTATGAGAATGCACACATATCAAGTTCTTGGCACATAGTGTGAACCTGAAACTAGTCACTATAACTACTGTTGTATGCTAAGACAAATTCAGGCCCTTCTAACTCTTTCTTTGGAAATACATGCATAGGGTCATAGCAATATGTATTTAATACAGTTCTACCCTCCTGGCTGCACAAGGCAGAATGTAACACACATGGTGGCATGATTCTCAGGATGGAAGCGTATCTTTATCACTAAGCCCACCAGAATCTTGTGCCCCTTGTTTGTTTGATTGTTTGCTGTCAATTAAAGGTCTAGGATTAGATGACCAACTTCTTATGAGTCTATCCAATTGCTACATTGACTTGTAACTTAGTGAGCAAAGGAGCACAGCAAGGTTCCCACAGGCCAGAATTCTTTTTAGAAGGCCTTGAAAGAACTTTCTCTTGTTTATGGCACTGACTGTCATTAGCAGATTATGTGTACCCTACTATTTTATCTCATAAACTATACAAGGTCTTTGCTCAAAAAATCCTCCTCACTTTGACTGGTATGCAAGATGTTTGAAGCATTTCCTTATTTCTCAGGAATAGGTCTAATAATGAAGAAGAAATGCCGTAAATGATAATTCACTATCTCAACAAGACCTACAAACTCCAGTGCATTTTAATAGGTGCTATTGAATGAGATTCAGACATAGAGGACATGTTCCCAACTTGTAAAGAGTTTATTCAAATAATGACAACACAATAGCTATCAATTATTAGCTCCTAATATATACCAGTTATCACAATAATTAATTTGCTAAATTGTCTCTTATCTTCACAACCACTCTGAAGGGTGTTATTACCTTCCAGTTACCAATGAAGAAACTGAGGCTCCGAGAAATAGAGTGATTTGCCTCAGGGAACACATCTATTAACTTGCATTGATGGGGATTTGTTTGTATTGGGATCAGTAGGAAAGAGAAGGAATACTGAAGTTTTACCTCCTGTTTGACATCTTTTCCAGCTATTTTGTCTCTAATTGATTCTCCATGTTATAAACTCTCAAAGAATTTATAGCCTGGGCCACACATTTTCATTCTTATTTATATACCATTACATCCTAGGCAAAGGTACAAGATGGGAATAATATGACATTAGTGAAGAACTAGTCTGACTTGTATCTGGTTCTCCTTTCCTCACAGGTTGCCTTGGTAAGACTGGCTAAAGTGACAGCCAGGCAGGTGGCACACTGGGGAGATTAATTGAAAAGGCCAGAGGTGGGAAGACCTAGAGAAAAACTGGGTAAGCTATTCCCTAGGAACACAATGGTTCAAATCCAAGGGTGGATGATTTTGTATTTAAGTCTCAAGTGGTAACTAAAGAAAAATAGAGAAAAAAGCTGTTGCTCAAGATATTCTTGTAAATCACCAAAGTAGTGGGTTGGAATAGCATGTCCCCAAAGGCCACTTCAGATTCTTAAGCCAACAGTGGAATAGGAGAGGATTTCAGAGTAGAATGTTGAGAAGCAGAAAATAATAAGACCAAAAGAGAGAAGCTAGCATTTATGATGGAATGCAATCAAGCACATTTTCTTCAGAGGAAACAAAAGGACACAAAATAAAAGGTGTCCACACTCTCTTTATCTCTCAGGTTTATAACTCACTGAAGATGTTTTTCCTGTACCCTAGACCTTCTAACGAATCAAGCTCTGCCCAAAACACCCTCTTTGGCTCCACTGTCCCATACTTTTTCAGACAGTCTTACTTCCTGTTCAACATATGTTCTTTTCTAATTCTAACACTTGTTACTCATCCATACTCATCCACCCATCCAGTGGGTAGATGTGGTAGCCCATGTCCAAGATGGTCCCCAAAATCCTTACCTCCCTGGTATTCATGCCTCGGTGTGATCTCCTCTCACATACTGTGTCAGGTCGGTCCATTTCACCAATAGAATACAGCAAAAGTAAAGATGTGTGATTTCCAAGGTTAGGTCAAAGAAGACATTGCTGTTCCCACCTTGCTTTCTCTTGGGTTGCCTGCTCGGGGGAAGCCAGCCACCATGTAGCAAAAATACTCAAGAAGCCTATTGACAGAAACTAAGGCCAGAGCCAGGTGAGTGAGCCACCATGGAGGTAAATCCTCCAGCCCAGTCACACCTTTAGGTGCATGCAGCCCCAGCTAACATCTTGCCTGAACACTCATGAGAACACCTAAGCCAAAATTACCCAGCTAAGCCATTCCTGAATTCCTGCTCATAAAACTCAAGATAATTAATGTGTTATTTAAGCCATTAAGTTTGTGGGTAATTTATAGCATAACAATAGTTTATACACTAAAATAGCTATTTATCTAAAGATGCAACTCTCGTGAAAGCTCTTTGCATTCACCACCACCACTAAGGGGCACTTGCTCAGGTCATTAATACTTTAATTTCCAAGTGTCCTTTAAGTTCTTAAAGAACATCAGGCTCAGAGGCCTATGTGAAAGCGCCACCTGCTGGTAAAAACTTAATAGTGTCCCACAGCAAGCGGCAATAATTCAGGGCTGACAGCCAGTGCCAACCAGGGATGCTTTTCTAACGTAGACTCTGGCTTCCCATTTTATGTCTCTTTTAGCTTTTTCAGTTCCTGGAGATGACAATGCCTGCCTTGCCTTCTTCTCAGAGATGCTGAAATGTGATATCCCTGAGCCCTGAAAATCATAAAAACACATCAGGAGTCCTTCGGATTATTCATTCTGGTATCTTATTGTTCCTGCTTTATCAACTCTTTCTGTCTGCCTGCAAACATTCAAAAGTCTCTGTTATTAGAAAAAAAAAGCCAAATATCACAAAACCTCTCAATGGATTTGTTACCCCCAAATCACTCCCAAATCTCTCAAAGGTCAGTCTGCCCCCACCAACACTATATAATGTTCTTTCCCTCCATTTAGCCATCATTGAATGCCTCATGGATATCTCCATGGAGGTGGGTAGAAAAAAGAAATGATTGCCCAGCAGCAGAGGCCACTTGATGTTGGTTGGCATGATTTGACATTATCACCATTTCACAGACAAAAAAATTGATGATCAGAAAGGACTGGAAGGAAGGGAGGGAGGGAGGGAGGGTGGGAGGAAGGAAGGAAGGGAGGAAGGAAGGAAGGAAGGAAGGAAAGGAGGGAGGGAGGGAGGGAAGGAAGGAAGGAAGGAAGGAAGGAAGGAAGGAAAGGAGGGAAGGAGGGAGGGAGGGAAGGAAGGAAGGAAGGAAGGAAGGAAGGAAAGGAGGGAGGAAAGGAGGGAGGGAGGGAGGGGGGAAGGAAAGGAGGGAGGGAGGGAGGAAGGAAGGAAAGGAGGGAGGGAGGGAGGGAGGGGGGAGGGGAGGAAGGAAGGAAGGAGGGAGGGAAGGAGGGAGGGAGGGAGGAAGGAAGGAAAGGAGGGAGGAAAGGAAGTAGGGAGGGGAGGAAGGAAGGAAGGAGGGAGGGAAGGAGGGAAGGAGGGAGGGAAGGAAGGAGGGAGCACCTCTAGGTGCTTATGGAGTGTTCATTTTGGCAGTCAGCCTCTATAGGGTACTTTAAAAAAAGGGACAAGGCCAGAGAGGCAGCCAGTATCAGGGGTCTAACAAAGTGATGTAACAACAGGCAGGTCATCTTGGGAAGCATTCCTCAGGAGTCCAGGCAGGAGGTCGCATCAAGGAGGTCACACTGGCAAATAGGTAGGACCTAGCTACAAGGCTGAGGCCTATGGACAGGATGGAGGCAGGCCCCTGTTAAGAAACAAACCGGGAGGGAGAGTCATTGTTTAATAGGTACAGAGTTTTTGTTGCAGATAATGAAAAAGTTTTGGGTGTAAATGACGTTAATGGTTACACAACATTGTGAGTGTATGTAATGCCACTGAGTTGCACTTTCGAATGCTTAAAATGATAAATATTATTATATGGTTTTTACTACAATTTTTTTTTAATCTGAAAAGACAGAAAGAAATAGACCAGGATGTTAAATTTACCAGACCAGGGAGGAGGCAGAAGTTCAAAAAATTAGAATTAGGGTCTATATATGAGAAAGGAGAAATGGATGCCAAGCCCCATTTCACATGTCCTTGGTGTCTTAATAACATCCTGCCTCTACGGTGCACAGATTCACTTCTGGGAGCTCGTGTTTTTCCCTTAGGAAAATTGAAACTTGGGGATGATGGGTACAATCTGGCTGGGGTGAGGGGCGTTCTTAAAGACTTTTTCTCAGGGGAGTGAACAAAACAGCTCTTTGTGGACACCTCTGGCAGCCTCTTCACTTGCCTGGGAAGGTTTTCTCTCTGAGCAGCTATTGTGCCAGGTCCTGGGGATGGATCCTGGGGTGAAGACCACAGGGATTTGGGCAAGGGTGGAGGGTGAATTCTGCTGTGTGACAGGGAGCCCCTTTCACCAACCCTTGCCCAGGCCATGGCTAAGGGGCACCTTAAGAGCTGTAAGGCTATCGTTTTGGCTTGGATTTGCTTCTCAGAGTCCCCTCATGCCCCCAGAACCACAGCCCTGTAGGCCATGGGGCATCTAGGTACAAGTGCCCTGGGGAGAAGGCCCAAATTCACATCCTAGCCCTCCCTTTTAGGAGTCAGGTCCTGGATCCTTGTGAAGTCGCCAGAGTGCACCCTGGGCATCCCTGGCTTGGGAATGAAGGATGTGGTGGAAAAGGATGGGAATGGTGGGGGATGAGGTGCTGGGATGGGATGGAGAGATGGTAGAGTGTCATTGGGGATGAAGAGAGATGAAGGATAGCTTCATCAGATGCAGAAGTTTGATGGGATGTTATATAAAAGAGAGGAAAGGGGAAAAGAGGAGAAAGAACTGCGATTTAGGTACTCCCACAGTTATTCATTCAACAAATACTTATTGAGCATCTAAAATGTGCCAGATACTAAGATAGGAGCTGGGACAGCAATGAGGAACTAGACAGAAATCTCAAGGAGCCTGGGGTCTAGTGTTGAAGACAGACTGTCAGACAAGCAATTAAACCAAACTGTGATAAGTATTATGATGAGGGAACTAGGCAGGGCCAGGGAAGGCAAATGAGTTCATATTAATTAGAATTTGGTTCTGCTGTATATAAAAGACAACCAAAATAACTTGCTTAAATGAGATAAATGTTTATTTCTTTCTCACATAAAAGAAGTTCAAGGATGCAAAGGCAGCTCCACATGTCTTCAAAGGTAGGGGCCATTATATTTTTGTTCCACCATGCTTGCATCTAACTTGCATCTTCAGTGTTACCTCATGGTCCAGAATGGCTGCTGGAGCTCCAACCTTTGTTTCTGAGTTAGGGCTGCAAAAAGAAGGCACAAAAGTGACCTCTTCCTGTTGAATCAACTCTCTTTGAGCAGCCTTCCTCAAGGTCCCATAAAATTTATATCTCCTCAGGAGACTTGGGGCTTGGCTGTACCCACTTCAAGGGAAACTGGGCAAAAATGTGGCCAGCTAAAATTCAGATTTTGGACATGAGAGGAGCCAAGATGGTGGCGTGAGTAGGGCAATGGAAATCTCCTCCAAAAACCATATATATTTTTGAAAATATAACAAATACAACTATGCCTAACAGACAGACCAGAAGATACAGTACAACAGCCAGGCTACATCTACATCTGCGAGAACTCAGCATCTCACAAAGGGGGTAAGATACAAAGCTGCGACCTGGCGGGATGTGAGCACTCCCCCCACCCTAGCTCTCTCTGGTGGGAGGAAAAGAATCAGGGTGGGGAGGGAGTGGAAGCACAGGGCTGCTAAATAACCAGCCCTGGTAATCTGCACCAAGAACACAGAGACACATTGCATGGTGTACTGGATATTAGAGATATGGAGAGGTAAAATCTGCAAGCAGGTCCCCACAGCTGGTTCCCCTGGGACAAAAGAAAAGCAAGTGCTTTTGAAAGTCTTAAAGGGATAGAGGCTTAACAGCTGGACAGAATCGTCCCAGCACACCCAGCCCAGCAGGCTGGGAATCTTGAGGAACTTCAGGCGCCCCAACCCCCTGGGTGGCAATGCAGCTCTGAAGCTCCTCACAGCGATAAGCAGCCTGCCATTAGTACCCCCGGGCTGGCGCTGCCCTGCCACAGTGGTGGAGCAGCTGGAGAGTGACCCTGCCCACAGCAACTGCCCAGAGTCTCCTCCCAGTGTGCAGCTACCCAGGCCAGACCCAGAGGCTGCCACCGGTGCGCAGCTGCCTGGTGCAGAGGAAGCCAGGGCAAGGCTTGAAGGGGCGCCGTTCTCAAAGGAGAGCACACCTGGCATGCCTGCCACTCCCCGTAGGGCTCTGGATTACCCTGAGGTCTGCCCTGCCCATGGCAGCTCAGGGGATTAACCCAGAGGCTGCTCCTGGTGTGCAAGTAACCGACAAAGGCAGCGGAGAAGGGCAAAGTGACCAGCAAGCAGGAAGGGACTTTGTTCTCCCAGCTGACACACACGCCACCTGCCTATGACTACATCAGTCATCATGAACAGGCAGAAGAATCTGGTCCAGTCGAGAATCACCCAGACAAGCCCTGAGAGAGGGCCTAGGTAGATAGATCTAACCAATCTTCCTGAAAAAGAATTCAAAATAAAGGTCATAGCCATGCTGATGGACCTGCAAAGAAATATGCAAGAGCTAAGGGATGAAGTCAGGAGGGAGATAACAGAAATGAAACAATCTCTGGAAGGACTTAAGAGCAGACTGGATGAGGTACAAGAGGCTGTTAATGGAATAGAAATCAGACAACAGGAATACAGAGAAGCTGAGGCAGAGAGAGAGATAAAAGGATCTCCAGGAATGAAAGAATATTGAGAGAACTGTGTGACCAATCCAAATGGAACAATATTTACATTATAGGGGTACCAGAGGAAGAAGATAGAGAAAAAGGGATAGAAAGTGTCTTTGAAGAAATAATTGCTGAAAACTTCCCCAAACTGGGGGAGGAAATAGTCTCTCAGACCATGGAAGCCCACAGATCTCCCAACACAAGGGACCCAAGGAGGACAACACCAAGACATGTAATAATTAAAATGGCAAAGATCAAAGACAAGGACAGAGTATTAAAGGCAGCCAGCGAGAGAAAAAAGATCACCTACAAAGGAAAACCCATCAGGCTATCATCAGACTTCTCAACATAAACCTTACAGGCCAGAAGAGAATAGCATGATATATTTAATGCAATGAAACAGAAGGGCCTTGAACCAAGAATACTGTGTCCAGCACGATTATCATTTAAATATGAAGGAGGGATTAAAAAATTCCCAGACAAGCAAAAGTTAAGGGAATTTGCCTCCCACAAACCACCTCTACAGGATATTTTAAAGGGACTGCTCTAGATGGAAGCACTCCTAAGGCTAAATAGATGTCATCAGAGAAAATAAAATCACACGAAAGAAAGCAGACCAACCAAATACTAATTAAAGGCAAAAAATAAAATCAACTATTCACAAAAGCAGTCAAAGGAAACACAAAAGAGTACAGAATAAAACACCTAACATATAAAGAATGGAGGAGGAGGAATAAGAAGGGAGAGAAATAAAGAATCATAACACTGTGTTTATAATAGCTTAATAAGTGAGTTAAGTTAAATGGTTAGATAGTAAAGAAGCTACCCTTGAACCTTTGGTAACCACGAATCTAAAGCCTGCAATGGCAATAAGCACATATCTTTCAATAATCACCCTAAATGTAAATGGACTGAATGCACTAATCAAAAGACACAGAGTAATAGAATAGATAAAAAAGCAAGACCCATCTATATGCTGCTTACAAGAGACTCACCTCAAACCCAAAGACATATACAGACTAAAAGTGAAGGGATGGAAAAAGATATTTCATGCAAACAATAGGGAGAAAAAAGCAGGTGTTGCAGTACTTGCATCAGACAAAATAGACTTCAAAACAAAAAAAGTAACAAGAGATAAAGAAGGACATTACATAATGATAAAGGGCTCAGTCCAACAAGAGGATATAACCATTATAAATACATATGCACCCAACACAGGAGCACCAGCATATGTGAAACAAATACTAACAGAACTAAAGGAGGAAACAGAATGTAATGCATTCATTTTAGGAGACTTCAACATACCACTCACCAAAAGGACAGATCCACCAGACAGAAAATAAGGACACAGAGGCACTGAACAGCACACCAGAACAGATGGACCTAACAGACATCTACAGAACTCTACACCCAAAAGCAGCAGGATACACATTCTTCTCAAGTGCACATGGAACATTTTCTAGAATAGACCACATACTAAGCCATAAAATTCAGATTTTTATAATAAGTTGGAAAGAAAGAATGAATTCTGGGTTAGTTTGCACTCGCTGCCACAAAGTATTTTCATCTTTTGCATTCAATTTTCACGAATATTGCAGATCAAATGCTTAGAAACATGTTCAATTCTAGCAAAAATGCCAAAAAAAAATTATTTTTGGCAATACAAAGCATTTTCTAATAGAAGGCAGAATTCATAAAGAAATATATTTAAACATTTCGTTTTAAGACCTTGATTTTAGGAAAAAAAGTGAGTTTTTCTGCCAGCATGTACTCAACCAGGGAGACGTTTTCTCAGGCCATCAGGGGCCAGGAAGGAGCAGACCATCATGCAGATATTCAGCGCAAGGGGTAGTACCAAAGGCCAGCTAGTAGAAATCAGTGTCAGGCCGAGCTGGTCAAGTGGATGTGGCTACTATAAAATGATCCTCAGTTGTAGCAAAAAGGAAATTTATATGTTGATAACAAAGTTAGAGGGTTATGTCTGTGTTTGAGAACTTTTCTGTATCTTTTTTTGCATTAGCAGTAACTTCTTATCCCCATCTCAGTGCCTGGCACCTGAGTCAGTGCTAATAAGTGCGGGTTGCATAAATGCTGTCAATGAACTTGGCTCTGTAAGACTCCATCTTTTTACTTGCTTTTAATATAGAATGGCTAGGAATTCATAACTTCCAGTTGCTACAGTATTTCAAAGGAATCCCAGGAGCTGAGTAAAAATGTGAAGGTTTGGAATGTGGTGCCAAAATTTGGTTTAATGCCTAAATTTGGGTCTCTGTATGGCAGATCTTGCTCCAGGGCCCTTACCTCTAATAGAAGCATTGGGAACCGTAAATAAGAACAATTCACTGTTTTTGATTAATCCATTTCATAACCGTTCTTTTTTGGGGTAATTATTTATTTACTGGGTTTATACTTAGGGCAGCCAATCAAAACTGAGTGATCTCATTACCATTTTTAAAATGGAAATAAATTACAAAGTAGTGGTAATTAAGTGTGGTTTTATTCTACTTGAGGCCTTAACTGTAGGCATAAATAATACATATAAATCTTGTGAAATCTGAACCCTGAAAGAAATGAAACTGAGCACATTCCAAAAGAGTTAAGGAAGAATTTTAGATCTGTACGATCCCCTGTTTGAAAGAAAACTAGCTATCGTCTCTGGCAAGCTACTTAAGCCAGTGAGAATGGTTACCAAATAACATGCCTTATCGGGGCAAATAATGCCATTGAAAAAGCACTTTTACCTTAACCTTGCTATGTCATTCTCTACATTAATATTTATTTTAAAATTTATTCTTGTTCAAGTTGTTTTGCTTCCACGGGTTTTCACAACTCTAAACATGGTCATTAGGATAAATGTTTAATTCAGAGAGATCAAGGGCCACATAGCCAAATATGAGCAATTCCTGAGCTAGAAACCAGATAATGAATTTATTTGACAGATATTCAGTGTGTGCTCCCTCTTGGCAGGCACTCTGTCGAGTGCTGAGGAAGCAAACACAGGGACAAGTCTAGACTCTTCAGAACCCTCAGTGTGTGAGGTTGAGAGTCAGTCTGCTGGGCTTGGGTCCTGATTCTGCTACTTGCTGCTTGATGTTGGGCAAATTACTTAATCATTTTGTGCCTCAGTTTTCCCATCTATCAAGGGCGATAATATAATACCCCTTATATAAATAAAATACATAAAATAAAATACCTACTTCATTGGGTTGTAGTGAGTTAGATTAATTAACTCTTGTAAAAAGTTTAGGACAGAATCTGACCTTGAGTCAGTCCTCAATAAATGTAAGACTATTAGTGGGAGAGACAGACATTACTTAAATGAGCATGCTTACGAGTGTGTAATGATAAACTTGAGATAAATAATTGGAAGGAAAGTAACAAGTCTACAGAGGTTGTGTCTGGGACTCATGGAAGGTTCTCCAAGAAAATGGCTCTAAGTGGAGCTGTGAAAGATAAACTTGTGCAAACTATATTAGCATCCCAAACTGGGGTTGGGACTTTTAATTCCTGGATTCCTGTATTATATATTCATTTTTAATACACCACAACTCTTGGCACAATTAGCTTAAGATCAACTTGTTGGTCTGGAGCATCTGGAACCAATTTTTTTTTTTTTAGTGATACAAAAACATAAGCCTGAAAGTCAGAAGACCAAAGTTCTAATTTTAGCTCTGCTATCAACTCAGTATAGGACTAGGGAAGGGCCTTTAGTCTGCTTCTGAAAATTATTTAGAAGTTAAAAAGAATGTTTTCCTCCAGACTAGAATCTGGCCATAAAAATTGCCTGTGGTTTTCCCTTTCCATATCTATGCTGTTTTATTGTCATAAAATATTCAAGTCATTACTCCTGCTTGTGAAAATACTACCCACTCTCCAAGCTCCATCTCAAATGTGCAGAATGGGGGGGTAGGTGTTTTTATCTGCCAGTCTTCCTATTTTTACAGAGAAGAGGCCTTCCACTACTACCGTCTACATTAGCTAGTAGAAGAACCCTTCTCTTAATATTTTTTGTATTGAGATGAAACCCACATAACATTAAAACAACCATTTTAAAGTGAACAGTTCAGTGGTATTTAATATATTCACAATGTTATGCAACCAGTCTTCCTCTAATTCCAAAATATTTTCATTGCTCTAAAATAAAATCCCTTACCCATTAAGCAGTTGCTCCTTATTCCACCCCCCCATTTCCCTACCCTCAACCACATCAATGGCAGTCAGTCAGTCTCCCCTCTCCCTAACCCAAGCTCCTATTCAAATGTGTCTTAGACACTAAGTGCTCAAGTCACACTGCAGTAAAGTGAAGTAAATTGTGTGCAGTGGTTTTTACCATCGGATTTCTCAGCCATTGATTCTAGGGCCATGCAATTACCTACTTACTTAGGGTCCTAGAATTTTGATGTTGGAAACTGCCCCTTTCAATTGATTCCTGTAACATTGTTGATTATGACCACAGAATGGTCTTTGTGCACCGGCAACCACAGCACCTCAGCAACACACAGACCTGCAAGAGATGACAATGCACAGAAACATATTAGGGGTTCTTCATCTTCTCTAAAATTCTTGTTTTTTCCTGACTTTGAGGAAAAGAAAAAATGATATTGTTTACTTTTCTGTATTTCTCTCTTCTTGAAGTTTCTACTTATGTTTATTTCCCTAATCAATTGCTATTTTGGGAGTCTCCCATGAGCCAGTCACTGCTCTAGCCATTGCAGATACAGTAGTGAACAAGATGGGCAAACTCTTCCCTCTAATGAGGGAAACATAAATATCTGATGATCAGGAATCGATACATAGTATAAAGCAAGCAAGGTAGGGTCCTGGGGGACAGGACATGATAAAGGATGAATCCTCTTTTAAGAGAGGCTGGCCTGGAAAGGCCTGAAAGATGTGATAGAGTGAGCCATGGGACTATCTGGGGGACATATCTTCATCTCGAACATTCAAATAATGGCCATAAATAAGGAATCTTTATTATGATTATTTGTAAAGTTAAAAAAACTCACTTTTTGTTATAGAAAAATTCAAACCATATACAAAGTAGAGAGAATGGTATGATGAACCCCCAGGTATCAATTACCCAGTTTCAGTGATTATCAATGTATGGCCAGTTTTTCTTCCTCTGTGCCCATCTCTCCCTACATTCTCTGGATTATTTTGAAGCAAACCCTAGCATCATATTATTTTTATCTATAAATAATTTAGTGTATATATCTCAAAGATAATAACTTCCCTTTTAAAGCCTCCCCTTCAAAAAGTGATACTTTCTTAATGTCATCAAATATCCAGTCAGTGTTCATGTTACCCCCAACAGTGGATAAGCTAAAAAAAAAAAAAGAACATGGAGTAACTTCCATTAGCTCTAAAATAATTTCCTTAAAGACACTAAGGTAAAGTGTTAATTATACACTCACAACTTTTTTTAGGTACAGTCTGTTCTGTTATAGGTGTAGACCTGAACTGTAACTTAGTTCATAAAGACTGATAAAATAAGGGGATGATAGCAATGTATCTCATTGATTCATATTATTATTTTTGCCACCGTGTAATAGCAGCTGAACATAAAGTACACTACACAGTCGAGCACAGTCAACAAATGGGAAGTAAGAGTACTAAGACATGATGCCTACTCACCTTACATTCTCCCCTTACCTCAGTATGGCCATCAGCTTCCCCAGATGTCTGTGCATTTTGTTGTCTCAGTAACTCAGCTGTCTCAGCCTTCCCTCACACCACCTTCCAACAAGCTACCTTTATTTATTTTTTCTTTTAAAGATACTGTGCTTATTGTCAATGTTGTTCATGTGAAAACTTCATAAAGATTGTATATCAATGATACTTTAATTAAAAAAAGATACTGTGTTTACTGAAATGGTTTTCCTTAGAATTTAATATCTTTCTAAGGTTATCAGAATGGAGCTCTTTTGTTCCTGTTGTTAATGCTCTGGTTAAAAAGTTGCACAGATTTTTTAGCAGCCTGTCCCAATCCTATTTTTTAATGTAGCAAAAAGGTTATTAATTATTATGGAACCCATTTAGTGGGTGAAAATATTGAATTGTGAAAAATCAAATAAATATCCTTAAAAATAATTTACAAATGGGTCTGATTTGCACTGCTACCCATAATCTGGGGAGAACTTAGTAATGAGCCCTGTTTTTATCCCCTACCTCAAACTCCCAGCAAATCAAAAAGGTTTTAGGAAAGAAGGAACTTAAAATTGTTGCTCACAAAACAATGGCTTATAAAAACATTAAATAAGCAAAATATGTTAAAAAACATAGATACTGCTTTTTTTACCCAGGTTATAATGAAAGTCTAAATATGTTATCAAAGTTCTGCGTGAACTGTTAATAAAATGATAAACGTATTACAATGAACAAACTATTCTCAATTCAGTATTAGCTGCCTACCTTCATTTGAAATGCCAACACCTACAATTTCCCAGGTAGTTACAAAATCGGGTAGCATCAACTCCAGCTGATGCCTGGAAAATGAAATGTTTCAGAGCTGTCAAACACAGGTGAGCCTTAATTGACTTGGAACCAACCTAACATCATCTCCTATTAATCAGACTGTTTGTAATTTTCCCATATAGCTCTTGAAGCAAATCACAAGAAGACAAAGATGAATCAGTGGCCATGGGTAGAGGTGAGGTTAAGAAAAGAGCAGAGGTCTTTTATACACTTATAACTTATATATCTATTAGGTTGAACCATATGAAAACTGCTGTTGCATAGGTAAAGAATATTCGGATATAGGCAGATACATATGATTTGCCATGGAATGACTGCTTGTGTTTCCCTAAATTGGTATGTCGAAATCTAATCCCCAGTATTTGTGGTGGGAGTCTTTGGGGGGTGATTAGGTCATTAAGGTGGAGCCCTCATGAATGGGACTAGTGCCCTTATAAAAGAGGTCCCCAGGAATTTCCTCGTCCCTTCTGCCATGAGGGGTCACAGTGAAAAACCATCCATCTGTGAACCAGAAATCAGGCTTTCACCAGACACTGAATCTGCTGCTATCTTGATCTTGGACTTCTTAGCCTCCAGAACTGAGAGAAATAAATTTCTGTAGTTTATAAGCCACTTAGCCTGTGGTATTCTGTTATAGTAGTCCAAACAGACCAAGGCATGGTTCAACTTAACATATACTCCCATGTTTTGTTTTCATTTCCTTACTTTTATAAATTGAAAGGACTGTGATTAGTTATCAGATAAAAATTAAACTATATTGTGAGCCCTCCTAAGAAAAGTAGAATATACAAAAATAGTTGAAACAAAAGGAATATCAGAATACCAAAGTCCATTAGAATCTTTTCAGTGGACATTTCCTAAGTGCCTATCATGTATACAGCACAGTCCTAAGACTAAGAATGGGGATAAATAACAAAGGGTCTGTCTTCAAGGAATGTACTCTAGAAGAGGAGAGAGATATATGTACAAATACATCATCACAGACAGTAATAAGTGCTTCAATAGAAGCATGTACAAACTACAGTGAGATTCCAGAGAAATAGTATTTGACTTCTTGGGGGCCACTTTTTGGATAACCCAGTGTCTGAGCTGGGTTATCATATGTGGAATGCAGCTTGTCAGGAGTGGGGGGTTATGAGGGAGGAGTTCCAGGAAAAGGTATGAGGAGAGCAAGTATTGCTGGAGCAGAAAGGGCACAATAGGGGATAGAGCAAAGGCTGCCAGGAGAAGAGCTTGAGCTGTTGTTAAGCCCCTGGATGAGAATGCTTTAATCTACATAGATTTTGCCTAATAGGTCACGGAGAAGTGGCCTTAGGTGGGGAAGTGGCATGCTTAGACTTGGATTTTAACATAATCACACAGGCAGCTGTGCCTGGATAATTGGAATGGAGACGTGGACAAGGCTGGAGTCAGAGTAAAGGAGGCTGTTGCACATCAGGTAGGTCGTGACAACTAATAAAATCTGATTACTTCCCAAAGCTTATGGATAATCAATGTTTAACAGTGTATGTTTGTTATATGAGGAAAATATTGTCTCCTTTTGTTATACAGATAAGTAACATTGGAAGTACATACTTACATGCACAGTATACGTTGTTGGAGAATTTGTCATAAAACAGTTGTCTAGGAAGACTGAAATAATTATAAAGAAATTCCAAGCCCAGATACCACCCCAATTACATGCTCAGAAAAATGGCATTCTTCTACAAAGATCATTAGTTCTGCATTAATTCTACTACTGAGGGAAAAAACAGCTCAACAACCAAAGATGTCAGTGCTATCTTTAATTATCAAAGAAATCCTTGGAAGAGTGACAGACCATTTATTTATCATATCTGAATATTTTTAAAAATTCCTAAGGAAAAGAAAGATAAAGTCTTAAATACCTTTTAGGAACATGATATATGTTCCATAACCAGTTTTCTAAAAAAATGCTGCTTACAAATTCTCTGATATGCATGGTTGGTCCCTCTGAATTAGAAATATAAAACACAGAGTAAACATAACATGCAATACCTGTTAAAGTAGGGTGGTTAACTTTTAATTACAGATTTTGAGGAATTTGGTCAAACATTTAATTTTTGTGATATCAAAATACAAAAATAAAGTCCTTGGTTTAAGGTGTCTTAAATATATTAAATGCAAAAAAGCAAGGTACAGAATGGTAATATCTCATAAGTATAAAACAAAATATATATATAGATATAGATACAGATGTAGATATGTGTAAATATGTGGCCAGGCAGAGTATATTTATGGAAGGATATCAACAACAGCAATATCTTGCAAAGCAGTATTATTTTTATAATAAAAACTAGTGTAAATTTTTAACAAAAGGATAAAGAAGAAGGATGTACCAAAACAAATCAACAAAAAGCAAGAAAGGATATAAAGAAATAATAAGAAAGCATATTCAGTAGAAAACTGAATGTTTATATAAAAGAACAGGAATAAGTACAAACTCAACAAACATGAATGGGCTTAATATGTATCCCATTAAAATTCAGACATTCTCTAAACAGGTAATGAATAAAAAAACTCATTTAGATTTAAAAGATATACATAACCACCAAATGATATAGAAAAATTGAAAAGAAAGGAATAGAAAGCCATATATCAGCCAAATACTGGCAAAAAGTAAGTTGGTAGTTAAATTATAACGTCTGATAAAATAGAGAACTCAAAACATATCAATGGGATAAAGAGAAATATTTTATGTGGATAAAGTCACAATCTACCAAAAAGAGATAGTCATAAATCTTTATGCACTTAAAACCATAGTTTTAAAATATATACAGCAAAAACTGTAAGAAATACAAGATATCTTAACAATTCAAATATTAAAAACAAATGTAATTAACTTAAAAAGTTAAATAACAAAACAAACTTAAAGTAGAAGAAATTAATGAACTGTTTAGGGATAAAGCAATAAAACAGAAAACAATTACAGATGTCATCAACAAAATTAAAAGTTGTTTCTTTGAAAAGACCAATACAATGGAGAAAACTGGCAAGTCTGACCAAGAAGAAAAGAGGACACAAATTAACTACAGGGAAATATTTTTGTAAACTTGGAGTAAGGAAAGCTTTTCTACTGAAGATACCAACACCAGGAGCTCTAGGCAGATTTGACACCTAAATATTAAATACTCCAGGTACTGTAAACAAAGGTTAAAAGACCAATGGATTGGGAGAAAATTCTTGCAACATATTTATCATATTTTTATGTGCGTTTTTCAATACACTTATAACTTATATATCTATTAGGTTGAACCATATGAAAACTGCTGTTGCATAGGTAAAGAATATTCGGATATAGGCAGATACATATGATTTGCCATGGAATGACTGCTTGTGTTTCCCTAAATTGGTATGTCGAAATCTAATCCCCAGTATTTGTGGTGGGAGTCTTTGGGGGGTGATTAGGTCATTAAGGTGGAGCCCTCATGAATGGGACTAGTGCCCTTATAAAAGAGGTCCCCAGGAATTTCCTCGTCCCTTCTGCCATGAGGGGTCACAGTGAAAAACCATCCATCTGTGAACCAGAAATCAGGCTTTCACCAGACACTGAATCTGCTGCTATCTTGATCTTGGACTTCTTAGCCTCCAGAACTGAGAGAAATAAATTTCTGTAGTTTATAAGCCACTTAGCCTGTGGTATTCTGTTATAGTAGTCCAAACAGACCAAGGCATGGTTCAACTTAACATATACTCCCATGTTTTGTTTTCATTTCCTTACTTTTATAAATTGAAAGGACTGTGATTAGTTATCAGATAAAAATTAAACTATATTGTGAGCCCTCCTAAGAAAAGTAGAATATACAAAAATAGTTGAAACAAAAGGAATATCAGAATACCAAAGTCCATTAGAATCTTTTCAGTGGACATTTCCTAAGTGCCTATCATGTATACAGCACAGTCCTAAGACTAAGAATGGGGATAAATAACAAAGGGTCTGTCTTCAAGGAATGTACTCTAGAAGAGGAGAGAGATATATGTACAAATACATCATCACAGACAGTAATAAGTGCTTCAATAGAAGCATGTACAAACTACAGTGAGATTCCAGAGAAATAGTATTTGACTTCTTGGGGGCCACTTTTTGGATAACCCAGTGTCTGAGCTGGGTTATCATATGTGGAATGCAGCTTGTCAGGAGTGGGGGGTTATGAGGGAGGAGTTCCAGGAAAAGGTATGAGGAGAGCAAGTATTGCTGGAGCAGAAAGGGCACAATAGGGGATAGAGCAAAGGCTGCCAGGAGAAGAGCTTGAGCTGTTGTTAAGCCCCTGGATGAGAATGCTTTAATCTACATAGATTTTGCCTAATAGGTCACGGAGAAGTGGCCTTAGGTGGGGAAGTGGCATGCTTAGACTTGGATTTTAACATAATCACACAGGCAGCTGTGCCTGGATAATTGGAATGGAGACGTGGACAAGGCTGGAGTCAGAGTAAAGGAGGCTGTTGCACATCAGGTAGGTCGTGACAACTAATAAAATCTGATTACTTCCCAAAGCTTATGGATAATCAATGTTTAACAGTGTATGTTTGTTATATGAGGAAAATATTGTCTCCTTTTGTTATACAGATAAGTAACATTGGAAGTACATACTTACATGCACAGTATACGTTGTTGGAGAATTTGTCATAAAACAGTTGTCTAGGAAGACTGAAATAATTATAAAGAAATTCCAAGCCCAGATACCACCCCAATTACATGCTCAGAAAAATGGCATTCTTCTACAAAGATCATTAGTTCTGCATTAATTCTACTACTGAGGGAAAAAACAGCTCAACAACCAAAGATGTCAGTGCTATCTTTAATTATCAAAGAAATCCTTGGAAGAGTGACAGACCATTTATTTATCATATCTGAATATTTTTAAAAATTCCTAAGGAAAAGAAAGATAAAGTCTTAAATACCTTTTAGGAACATGATATATGTTCCATAACCAGTTTTCTAAAAAAATGCTGCTTACAAATTCTCTGATATGCATGGTTGGTCCCTCTGAATTAGAAATATAAAACACAGAGTAAACATAACATGCAATACCTGTTAAAGTAGGGTGGTTAACTTTTAATTACAGATTTTGAGGAATTTGGTCAAACATTTAATTTTTGTGATATCAAAATACAAAAATAAAGTCCTTGGTTTAAGGTGTCTTAAATATATTAAATGCAAAAAAGCAAGGTACAGAATGGTAATATCTCATAAGTATAAAACAAAATATATATATAGATATAGATACAGATGTAGATATGTGTAAATATGTGGCCAGGCAGAGTATATTTATGGAAGGATATCAACAACAGCAATATCTTGCAAAGCAGTATTATTTTTATAATAAAAACTAGTGTAAATTTTTAACAAAAGGATAAAGAAGAAGGATGTACCAAAACAAATCAACAAAAAGCAAGAAAGGATATAAAGAAATAATAAGAAAGCATATTCAGTAGAAAACTGAATGTTTATATAAAAGAACAGGAATAAGTACAAACTCAACAAACATGAATGGGCTTAATATGTATCCCATTAAAATTCAGACATTCTCTAAACAGGTAATGAATAAAAAAACTCATTTAGATTTAAAAGATATACATAACCACCAAATGATATAGAAAAATTGAAAAGAAAGGAATAGAAAGCCATATATCAGCCAAATACTGGCAAAAAGTAAGTTGGTAGTTAAATTATAACGTCTGATAAAATAGAGAACTCAAAACATATCAATGGGATAAAGAGAAATATTTTATGTGGATAAAGTCACAATCTACCAAAAAGAGATAGTCATAAATCTTTATGCACTTAAAACCATAGTTTTAAAATATATACAGCAAAAACTGTAAGAAATACAAGATATCTTAACAATTCAAATATTAAAAACAAATGTAATTAACTTAAAAAGTTAAATAACAAAACAAACTTAAAGTAGAAGAAATTAATGAACTGTTTAGGGATAAAGCAATAAAACAGAAAACAATTACAGATGTCATCAACAAAATTAAAAGTTGTTTCTTTGAAAAGACCAATACAATGGAGAAAACTGGCAAGTCTGACCAAGAAGAAAAGAGGACACAAATTAACTACAGGGAAATATTTTTGTAAACTTGGAGTAAGGAAAGCTTTTCTACTGAAGATACCAACACCAGGAGCTCTAGGCAGATTTGACACCTAAATATTAAATACTCCAGGTACTGTAAACAAAGGTTAAAAGACCAATGGATTGGGAGAAAATTCTTGCAACATATTTATCATATTTTTATGTGCGTTTTTCACATATATGTACGTGTGTTACATATATTTGCAACTTACATAACAGTCAAGGATTTCTCTCCATGATGTTTAACAATGCCTGTAAATGATAAGCCAAAGGGAGACCAGCCAAAGCAAAAATCGACAAAAGTATAAAAGGTTAATTCATGGGAGGAATATCACTGGCCAACAAACACATATAAACATATGCAATTATTGTCAATTTACATGAAATCAATTTGTTAAATCAAATGAGATATCATTTTTGACTCATCAGATTGGCAAAAATTATAGATGGATAATATCCCATTTGGCTAGGAGGTTGGTGGTAGTGGGAATTGGTACCATCTTTCCAGACATGAGCCTACTCTTTGATTCAGCAATCCTACCTATGACAATGACATCTATCTTATAGAAAAAATATTACACATATGCACGGAGATGCAAAACAATGCTTTTCTTTGCAGGACTGTTTCTAGTACTGAAAATCTGGGAACAAATTATATAGCCATTATAGCTGGTTGAAGAGTGGTCCCCAAAAGATATTTCCGAATCCTACCTCTTACCCAAGGAAAATAAAATCAATAATTTGAAAAGCTATATACACCCCTGTATATTGCAGCATTATTTGCAATAACCAAGATATGGAAGCAACCTAAGTATCCATCAATAGATGAATGGATAAAAATGTGGTACACATATATATAATGGAGTATCACTAAGCCATAAAAAAGAATGAAATCTTGTCCTCTGAGACAACATGGATGGACCTAGAGAGCATTATGCTAAATGAAGGCAGAGAAAGACAAATGCCATATGATTTCACTTATAGGTGGGATCTGAAAAACAAAACGAATGAACAAAGAAACAAAACAGACTAAAAAACACAGAGAATGGCCTGTTGGTTATCATGGGGGGCGTTAAGTGAAACAGGTGAAGAGGATAAAGAGATTTAAACCTTAAATTTGACACAGGGCTGTAAGTGCAGCATAGTAAATACTGCCAATAGTATTGTTAATATCTTTGTATGGTGACAGATGATATTTACACTTACCATAGTGTGCTTTTAATAATGTATATAATTGTCAAATCACTATGATACATATCTAGAACCAATATAACATTGTGTATCAACCATATTTCAATAAAAAAAAATCCTAGCCCCTGGTATCTGAAAATGTGACCTTATTTGGGAATAGAGTCTTCATAAATGGAATTCAGGACTGAGAAATGAGATCACCCTGGATTCGGGTGAGCCCTAAGTCCTGATAAGGTGTCCTTATAAGAGAGAGAAAAGAAGACACAGAAACACAGGGGAGACTACCATGTGAAGACAGAGGCAGAGACTGGAGTGATGTTATCTATAAACCAAGGAACACCAGGAGCCAACAGAAGCTCAAAGGGGCAAGGAAGTACCCTTCCTAGAGACTTTGGAGGGAGTATGGTCCTACTGACAACTTGAATCTCAACTTCTGACCTCCAGAACCATAAGAAAACAAATTTCTGTTATTTTAAGTTACCAGGTTTGTGGTAATTTGTTATAGTAGCCCTAGGAAACTACCCATTAATGTGTAATGGTTAAATAAATAAAGGCATAGCAATATTTTCAAATATTAGATGATCATTACAAAGCATGAGGCAGCTTTTTCCTCTGTCCTGATGTGAAAATAAGTTTGTGATATTTTGCCAACATTAAAAAAGGCACATTGCAGAAGTATATGTAGCCCATTTATGTAGCATGATCCCATTTTTGTAGAATTCTGTTGACAATAGTTAACACTATGGGGCCAAGGGAGTATAAGAAAACTGACATGTTTTTTAATGCTTAATCTTAAATTTTTTATTGTTTTTTCCTCTAAATTTTGTTGTTTGGCTTTTTTTAAGCTTATAGGCTATATAAGCCTTCATATATATTTTAAATCTTTAAAAAAGTTTTTTCAATGAAAATACATACATTCATAAGGCTCAGGAGGATTTCCCCACAATATTGTTATTATTAAGGATTTAAGATAAGTTTTATATTTTGAAGTATTTTTCAGAGCTTACTTGTTTATACACTTTTACAGGTTAATGGAAAGGCACAAAGAAGTTATTAAGTATTTTTTTAGAAGTTATTTAATAAGGAAACAAATTTGTGACTATGAGAGGTGATAGATGTTAACTAAACATTGTGGTGATCATTTCATCATATACATAATTCAATTATTATGCTGTACACCTTAAACTTATACAATGTTACATGTCAATTATATCAGTAAAACTGGAAAAAAATTTTAAATATAAGATGTAAAAATATAATTTAAAAATTAAAATATTCACTTTTTAAAGTACAGGGTCAAACTAAAGTTGCAATAATTTTTCTTAGTTATTCTCTGTCTTAAATTGCACGATCTCCACAGTTGTGTAGTTAAATAGAGTTCAGGTGAAACCAAAGAAAATAGGTTGAAAAGCAGATAGTAAAATTAAACAAAATTTTACTACATTGTACTAATCAATATTTTCCACACAAACCATGTGAAACTGAACTAAAGGAAATTCTTTTCTATATATATTTATGTGGTTCCTTATACTAATACTTCTTGTTGGCTATACTTTGTGGCAGAATCAAGAATAATATTTTGATTCTTCAAAGTATATTATTTTCTTTATGAGAGATTTTAAGTATCATGTGTGGCCAATGATATATGCACAAAATGAGCATCACAGAATTATTTAGTCAAATATTTTCATATTACAAATTAGCTCTTAGAGAATAAATAATGAGCTGCAGCCATTACACAGTGACTTAGTAGTAAAGCTGCAACTAGTGGTGCCCAAACTAGTATTACTGCCACTGCTCGCTCTGTTTTTTCAAGCTGAATTGCAGTTTATGCTTTTTTTCTACATTAAACAAAGTTTAGAAATACTTCCCAGGGTAGCTCAAACTCTGCCTGGAACCCTTTTACTGAACTGCACATGGAGTAGGAGCTTTTTCGCATACCTCCAAGTCTTGCCAGGATTGCAGGTGTGTGAGAAGTCTCGTTCCGCAGTTGATCTGCCAGGTTACAACACTGAAGGAAAGCTTTGGAACAATTTGGGCCAACTGTAACCTTCGCAGCTCTCTTCTCACAGCTCTCCACATTTTCATGAGCTCCATCATAACAGCACTGCTGGACAATCAGGTGTCTGAATGTGGATGCTGAGATGATAATACAACTGCTCTTAGCCAAATACAAATTCAAAGTCTTAGGGGTGGACTTAAAGGGTGTGGCCCAACTTCTTCCCTGGTGCCCCCCTCCATGAACCATCTAGTACCAGTGGTTGACTGACCCCAGGCAGCCTGTTCATTTCAGAGCTGAAAACTTCCTGACATCTAAGCCAAAATGTAACTCCTGTTACTGGTACCCTTATTGGTACAACAGATTTGAACTCATGCAGAAAATGTCAATAATCACCAGTCCCTTGAATATTTGAAGACACTCCATGTCTTACTCTTTGATAAACATCTCTGGGGCTTTTTATTTTATTTTATTTTGTTATTTTGTTATCATTAATCTACAATTACATGAGGAACATAATGTTTACTAGGCTTCTCCCTTCACCAAGTCCCCCCCCACCCCATTACAGTCACTGTCCATCAGCGTAGTAAGATGCTGTAGAATCACTACTTGTCTTCTCTGTGTTGCACAGCCCTCTCCATGCCACCACCCCCACATTCTGAGGCTTTTTTATTGAGACCATGTTTTTGTGGGATGTGGTTGGTATCAAAACCCTCAGTCACTCTTCGCTGGATACTCACTTTGTCAAGCTAGTCAAGCCACAGAAAGTATGAAGCCTGAGTCAGTATGAATAGAAGAGCAAGAATTTAAGCTGCCCCCCTATGTTCTCAAAAACCACTGAATGGGACTTTAGAATTAATCATGTCCTTTTCTACCATTTAGAGATAGGAAATGGTGGAGCAGAAAGGGAAAAAAACTTGTCCAAGTGGGCACAGCCACTAAAGGGCAGAGCCAGGGCTGGAGCCAGGGGGCAGTATCATGAGGTGAAAAGGCCACTGGACTAGTGGCCTCTGATACCTGTGGTAGCCCCATCTTTTCTAGTCACTTTGTCTTGGTAAGATAGTTCAGTTTTCAGATGTTCATTCTGGTATCATTAAATGACTATAATTTCTGTCTAGTCTAGGTGAGAGTGTGGTTTTATTCTTTAAAAAGAATAAGGCATAATAAGTCACTGTTTATTGAGTTCCTTCTAAACTAAGTGCTTTACCTGCATGAACTCATTTAATTCTCATAACTCTGCAAGGCAGAGAGAAACTGTCTCCATTTTGCAGCAGAAGAAACTGAGGCTTAGGGAGAGTAACTTGGCTAAGGTCACATAGCTATAAATAGTAAGCCAAACCCCAAACCTGGTCTCTAATTCTAAAAACCTTGTTCTTTATATCATGCCTTCAACCCTTCCTAGAGACTTTGGAGGGAGTATGGTCCTACTGACAACTTGAATCTCAACTTCTGACCTCCAGAACCATAAGAAAACAAATTTCTGTTATTTTAAGTTACCAGGTTTGTGGTAATTTGTTATAGTAGCCCTAGGAAACTACCCATTAATGTGTAATGGTTAAATAAATAAAGGCATAGCAATATTTTCAAATATTAGATGATCATTACAAAGCATGAGGCAGCTTTTTCCTCTGTCCTGATGTGAAAATAAGTTTGTGATACTTTGCCAACATTAAAAAAGGCACATTGCAGAAGTATATGTAGCCCATTTATGTAGCATGATCCCATTTTTGTAGAATTCTGTTGACAATAGTTAACACTATGGGGCCAAGGGAGTATAAGAAAACTGACATGTTTTTTAATGCTTAATCTTAAATTTTTTATTGTTTTTTCCTCTAAATTTTGTTGTTTGGCTTTTTTTAAGCTTATAGGCTATATAAGCCTTCATATATATTTTAAATCTTTAAAAAAGTTTTTTCAATGAAAATACATACATTCATAAGGCTCAGGAGGATTTCCCCACAATATTGTTATTATTAAGGATTTAAGATAAGTTTTATATTTTGAAGTATTTTTCAGAGCTTACTTGTTTATACACTTTTACAGGTTAATGGAAAGGCACAAAGAAGTTATTAAGTATTTTTTTAGAAGTTATTTAATAAGGAAACAAATTTGTGACTATGAGAGGTGATAGATGTTAACTAAACATTGTGGTGATCATTTCATCATATACATAATTCAATTATTATGCTGTACACCTTAAACTTATACAATGTTACATGTCAATTATATCAGTAAAACTGGAAAAAAATTTTAAATATAAGATGTAAAAATATAATTTAAAAATTAAAATATTCACTTTTTAAAGTACAGGGTCAAACTAAAGTTGCAATAATTTTTCTTAGTTATTCTCTGTCTTAAATTGCACGATCTCCACAGTTGTGTAGTTAAATAGAGTTCAGGTGAAACCAAAGAAAATAGGTTGAAAAGCAGATAGTAAAATTAAACAAAATTTTACTACATTGTACTAATCAATATTTTCCACACAAACCATGTGAAACTGAACTAAAGGAAATTCTTTTCTATATATATTTATGTGGTTCCTTATACTAATACTTCTTGTTGGCTATACTTTGTGGCAGAATCAAGAATAATATTTTGATTCTTCAAAGTATATTATTTTCTTTATGAGAGATTTTAAGTATCATGTGTGGCCAATGATATATGCACAAAATGAGCATCACAGAATTATTTAGTCAAATATTTTCATATTACAAATTAGCTCTTAGAGAATAAATAATGAGCTGCAGCCATTACACAGTGACTTAGTAGTAAAGCTGCAACTAGTGGTGCCCAAACTAGTATTACTGCCACTGCTCGCTCTGTTTTTTCAAGCTGAATTGCAGTTTATGCTTTTTTTCTACATTAAACAAAGTTTAGAAATACTTCCCAGGGTAGCTCAAACTCTGCCTGGAACCCTTTTACTGAACTGCACATGGAGTAGGAGCTTTTTCGCATACCTCCAAGTCTTGCCAGGATTGCAGGTGTGTGAGAAGTCTCGTTCCGCAGTTGATCTGCCAGGTTACAACACTGAAGGAAAGCTTTGGAACAATTTGGGCCAACTGTAACCTTCGCAGCTCTCTTCTCACAGCTCTCCACATTTTCATGAGCTCCATCATAACAGCACTGCTGGACAATCAGGTGTCTGAATGTGGATGCTGAGATGATAATACAACTGCTCTTAGCCAAATACAAATTCAAAGTCTTAGGGGTGGACTTAAAGGGTGTGGCCCAACTTCTTCCCTGGTGCCCCCCTCCATGAACCATCTAGTACCAGTGGTTGACTGACCCCAGGCAGCCTGTTCATTTCAGAGCTGAAAACTTCCTGACATCTAAGCCAAAATGTAACTCCTGTTACTGGTACCCTTATTGGTACAACAGATTTGAACTCATGCAGAAAATGTCAATAATCACCAGTCCCTTGAATATTTGAAGACACTCCATGTCTTACTCTTTGATAAACATCTCTGGGGCTTTTTATTTTATTTTATTTTGTTATTTTGTTATCATTAATCTACAATTACATGAGGAACATAATGTTTACTAGGCTTCTCCCTTCACCAAGTCCCCCCCCACCCCATTACAGTCACTGTCCATCAGCGTAGTAAGATGCTGTAGAATCACTACTTGTCTTCTCTGTGTTGCACAGCCCTCTCCATGCCACCACCCCCACATTCTGAGGCTTTTTTATTGAGACCATGTTTTTGTGGGATGTGGTTGGTATCAAAACCCTCAGTCACTCTTCGCTGGATACTCACTTTGTCAAGCTAGTCAAGCCACAGAAAGTATGAAGCCTGAGTCAGTATGAATAGAAGAGCAAGAATTTAAGCTGCCCCCCTATGTTCTCAAAAACCACTGAATGGGACTTTAGAATTAATCATGTCCTTTTCTACCATTTAGAGATAGGAAATGGTGGAGCAGAAAGGGAAAAAAACTTGTCCAAGTGGGCACAGCCACTAAAGGGCAGAGCCAGGGCTGGAGCCAGGGGGCAGTATCATGAGGTGAAAAGGCCACTGGACTAGTGGCCTCTGATACCTGTGGTAGCCCCATCTTTTCTAGTCACTTTGTCTTGGTAAGATAGTTCAGTTTTCAGATGTTCATTCTGGTATCATTAAATGACTATAATTTCTGTCTAGTCTAGGTGAGAGTGTGGTTTTATTCTTTAAAAAGAATAAGGCATAATAAGTCACTGTTTATTGAGTTCCTTCTAAACTAAGTGCTTTACCTGCATGAACTCATTTAATTCTCATAACTCTGCAAGGCAGAGAGAAACTGTCTCCATTTTGCAGCAGAAGAAACTGAGGCTTAGGGAGAGTAACTTGGCTAAGGTCACATAGCTATAAATAGTAAGCCAAACCCCAAACCTGGTCTCTAATTCTAAAAACCTTGTTCTTTATATCATGCCTTCTAATTATCTGTTTTGGCAAGTACCTACTGAAATGGTGGTATGTTGGGGACTATTAATATTCTCATCATTATTATTAAAGCACAGTATCTATAACTCCCCAATAATTAACATTATTGATAGTATATCTGAAATTTAAGTGGTATATAAAAACCAGTTCTTTTGGACCCATCTGCCTAATAATCTGGATAGGTCCTGAACATCATTAAAATAAAGAGAAGTAGTTCCCAGTAGAACATAGTGGTCACCAGTGCAGTGGGCTCTGCTATCAGTCTGATCTGGATTTGTGAGAATTTAATGGAAGTTGTGCATTAAACTGCTGCACCAGTTACTATGACAAAGAGTAAAATCTATGGGACAATTAAAATCTAACTCTGTTATAACTACAGAGAATGGATGTGATGGTGACCTACTTCCTTTAGGTTAGGACTATGTTAAATAAATGTGGGTTAATTTACCCAGTTTGCTTTACCCTTACAGAAAATAAAAGCTGAAAGTGTCCACAGGTCTTTTTTCACTTGGTCTATATCAATTAGCTAGCAAGAGAAAATGTAACAGATTCTGAGTTATTCCAGTAACTTCTGAAAACAAATGTGAAACTTTGGAGTACCTAGATCCTTTATTTTCTCCTCCAAATCTCTTCTTGATCTGAGAATTTTCTTAAATGATCCATCTGTTAAAAAACACAAAAAGAGAACATCTCTCAGAATAAATGCATCCAGAAATTAACTAAATGATTGATTCACAGAATTGGACTGAGCACATTTTATCAGAGATCATGCTCTATTTCCCACAGTCATTCTGATCTACAAATACCTTAGTACAGGGATGTGCATGAATAAATGAGCATATTTCTTGTTAGCAATATTATAATTTGGTCTTTGAAAAAGTATTAGCTCAAGAAGCTCAAATATGGTAAGACAAAAAGCAATGAATGTACACATTTTTAAGGTAGTTTGTCCATCTCTTTAAAACATATTTAGTGAGTGCCTCACCTCTTCCAGTTAGGGAACACAAAGATCAGTAAAATCCAGTCCTTATCTGCAAGGAATATCTCAAAAATCTAAATATGGGTACATTCTTTTGATGTTATAATGCCATACTGAGTACAAGGAGACTGTTAGGGGCTGAATTAGGCCCCTTCACAAATTCCTATTTGAAGTCCTAAACCTCACTACCTCAGATGTGTCTGTATTTGGAGACAGGGTTTTAAAAGAGGCATTTCAGGTTAAATTAGGTCATTGGGTGGGCCATGATCCACTATGACTGGTTTCATTATAAGAAAAGATTAGAATGCAGACACATACAGAAGAGAGATTGTATGAAGACACAGGGAGAAAGTGGCCATCTGTAAGCCAAGAAGAGAGGCCTTAGAAGAAACCAGCTCAATGACACCATGATCTTGGACTTCCAGCCTCCAAAACTGTGAGGAAATAATTTCTGCTGTTTAAGTGACCTAGTCTGTGGTCCTTTGTTATGGTAGCCCTGGAAAACTAATACAGGAGGAGAGATCAGTTCAAGGCCAGGTTGGGAGTGGGAGTTGGGGGAGAAAGTGAAGTTTGAATTTGTATGGCAAATTAGAGGAGGAAGTCACTCCAGGCAGAGGTATAATGGAACAAGGGCTTCTCTCAGGTGCTCCAAGGAGACAAGTGAGGTTTAAGCACAGAGCCTTTAAAGGCAGATAAAAGGAACAATAGTAGGAATATTCTGGAGCAGTTTAATCCCACCTAGGATAGACTCTACTGTGTAGAAGTAACTGGGAGCTAGTGAAGGGTTTTATGTCAGTGCTGACTAGCTTATCAGAAATGTGTTATGAGAGTGAATGGGTGGAAAAAAACTATTTCAAGCAAATGGTAACCAAAAGAGAGGAGGGGTGGCTATACTTATGTCAGACAAAATAGACTTAAAGTCAAAATTGTCACAAGAGACAAAGAGGGATATTATATATTGAAAAGAGGATTAATCCACCAGGAACATATAACAACTATAAATACATATGTGCCTAACAACAGAGCACCTAAATATAAGGGAGAAATAGACAGCAATACAATAATATAGGGGACTTCAATATTCCATTTTCAATAATCAAACATCCAGATGGGAAATCAATATGGAAACAGAGGATGTGAACAACTCTATAGAAATATGGGCCTAACAGACATATACAGAACATTCCACCCAACAGCATTGGAATAAATATTCTTCTTAAAGACACACAAGTCATTCTTCAGGATATATCACATGTTAGGTCACAAAATAAATTTTAACCAATTTTAAAAAGATTGAAATAATATCAAGTATCTTTTCTGACCACAATGAACAAAACTAGAAATCAGTAACAGAAAAAAAATTTGGAAAATTCATAAATATGTAGAAATTAAACAACACACTCTTGAACAACCATTGGATCAAGGAAGAAATTAAAAAGGGAATTAGACCTCAAGACAAATGAAAATAAAAATACAATGTGCCAAAACTTATGGGATGCAGCAAAAACAGTACTAAGAAGGAAGTTGATAGGATAAACACCTAATTTTAAAAAGAAGAAAGATCCTAAATAAACAACCTACCTTCACACCTTGAGGAACTAGAGAAAGAACAAACTAAGCTCAAAGTTCATGGAAGGAAATATACAAGATTAGAACCAAAATAAACATAATAGAAAAAAATCAATGAAACTAAAAGTTGGTTTTTCAAAAAGATAAACAAAATTGACAAGCTCTTAGCTAAACTGAGAAAATAAAGAAGACTCAAATAAATAAAATCCGAAATGAAAAAAGAAACATACAACTGATGCCACAGATATAAAAAGGATTTTAAGAGACTACTATGAACAAGTACATGTCAACAACCTGGATAGCCTAGAAAAAATTAAATGGATAAATTCTTAGATGCATACAACCTACCAAGATAAAATCATGAGAGTTCAAACAGACCTATAACTAGTATGGAGTTTTAGTCAGTAATCAGAAACCTCCCAAAACATAAAAACACAGAACCAGATGGCTTCACTGGTGAATTCTACCAAAGGTTTAAAGAATTAGTGCCAATGCTTCTTAAACTCTTCCAAGGAATTGAAGGGGGGATACTTTTAAGTTCATCAGGACACTTCCAAACTTTATGGGGCCAGCATTAACCTGATGCGAAAGATAAGACACCACAAGAAAACAAAGCTACAGGCCAATACCCCTGATGAATATAGGTGCAAAATCCTCAACAAAATACTAGCAAATCCAACAGCACATTAAAAGGATCATACAACTTGCCAAGTGGGATTAAACCCTGGAATGTAAGGATGGCTCAACATATGAAAATCATTAACATGATGCACCACACTAGGGTAATAAAGTATAAAAAAATTACATAATTGTTTCAATAGATGCAGAAAAGGCATCTGATAAAATTCAATACCCTTTCATGACAAAAACTCTCAACAAACTAGGCATAGAAGGAAAGTACCTCAACATAATAAATTCCATACATGAAAACCCATAGCTAATATCATACTTAACGGTGAAAATCTGAAAGCTTTTCCCCTAAGATCAGGAAGAAGACAAGGATGCCCATTTACTACCACTTCTATTTAATATACTATTAAAAGTTCTAGCCAGAGCAACTGGGAAAGAAAAAGAAATGAAAGTCATCCAAATCACAAATGAAGGAGTATAATTGTTTACAGGCAACATGATCTTATATATAGAAAAAACATAGACTTCATAAGAAAAATGTTAGAACTAATAAACAAAATCAATAAAGTTGTAGGAAAATAAGACAACATACAAAAATAAGTTGTGTTTCTGTGTAGTAACAATGAAGTATCTGAAAATGAAATTAGGAAAACAATCCTATTTACAATAGCTCACAAAAAAAATAATTAAGAAGAAACTTAGCTAAGGAGGTGAAAGACTTGCATACTGAAAGCTACACACACTGATGAAAGAAATTAAAGAAAACACAAACAAATGGAAAGACATCCCATGTTCAAGGACTGAAAGATTTAATTCTGTACTACCCAAAATGATCTATAGATTGATGCAATCTCTATTAATCCCAGTGGTATTTTTTTTTACAGAAATTGAAAAGGTAATAATACATTTCATATAGAACTACAAAAGACCATAAACAGCCAAACAAATCCTGAGAAAGGATAAAGCTGAAGGCATCACACTTCCTTGATTTCAAACTATAATACAAAACTAATCAAACAGTATGATACTGACATAAAGACAGAACATATATACCAATGGAACAGTATAGAAAACCAGAAATAAATCCAAGCATATATGGTCAACTGATCTTCAACAAGGGTGCCAAGAATACACAATCAGAAAAGGGTATTCTCTTTAACAAACAGTGTTGGGGAAATGGGATAGTTACATGCAAAAGAATGAAATTTTGGACCCTCATCCTATACCATAAAAAAAATTTAACTCAAAAAGAATGAAGACTTAAATGTAAGACTTGAGACTATAAAAGTCCTAGAAGAAAACAGGGGAAAAGCTTTATGACATTGGTCTTAACGATGATTTCATGGATATGACATCAAAAACACAAGCAACGGAAACAAAAAATAAGCAAGTGGAACTACATCAAACTAAAAAGGGCAGCAAAGGCTTGGCTTGGAAGAATTAATATCATCAAAATGGCCATCCTGCCCAAAGCAATATACAGATTTGATGCAATCCCTATCAAATTACCAACAGCATTCTTCAATGCACCGGAACAAATAGTTCAAAAATTCATCTGGAAACACCAAAGACCCCGAATAGCCAAAGCAATCCTGAGAAGAAAGAATAAAGTGGGGGGGGATCTTGCTCCCTAACTTCAAGCTCTACTACAAAGCCACAGTAATCAAGACAAGTTGGTACTGGCACAAGAAGAGAGTCACAGACCAGTGGAACAGATTAGAGACTCCAGACATTAACCCAAACATATATGGTAAATCAATATACGATAAAGAAGCCATGGACATACAATGGGGAAATGACAGTCTCTTCAACAGATGGTGCTGGCAAAACTGGACAGCTACATGAAACAGAATGAAACTGAATCACTGTCTAACCCCATACACAAAAGTAAATTCAAAATGGATCAAAGACCTGAATGTAAGTCATGAAACCATAAAACTCTTAGAAAAAAACATAGGCAAAAATCTCTTGGACATAAACATGAGCGACTTCTTCATGACATATCTCCCCAGATCAAGGGAAACAAAAGCAAAAATGAACAAGTGGGACTACATCAAGCTGAAAAGCTTCTGTACAGCAAAGGACATCATCAATAGAACAAAAAGGTATCCTACAGTATGGGAGAATATATTCATAAATGACAGATCCGATAAAGGGTTGACATCCAAAACATAAACAGCTCACGTACCTCAACAAACAAAAAGCAAATAATCTAATTAAAAAATGGGCAGAGGAGCTGAACAGACAGTTCTCCAAAGAAGAAATTCAGATGGCCAACAGACACATGAAAAGATGCTCCACATTGCTAGTTAACAGAGAAATGCAAATTAAAACCACAATGAGGTATCACCTCACACCAGTAAGGATGGCTACCATCCAAAAGACAAACAAAAACAAATGTTGGCGAGGTTGTGGTGAAAGGGGAACCCTCCTACACTGCTGATGTAAATTAGTTCAACCACTATGGAAAGCAGTACGGAGGTTCCTCAAAAAGCTCAAAATAGAAATACCATTTGACCCAGGAATTCCACTTCTAGGAATTTACCCTAAGAATGCAGCAGCCCAGTTTGAAAAAGACAGATGAACCCCTATGTTTATCGCAGCACTATTTACAATAGGCAAGAAATGGAAGCAACCTAAGTGTCCATCAGTAGANCAGGCGGAGAAAGACAAATACCAAATGATTTCGCTCATATGTGGAGTATAAGAACAAAGAAAAACTGTAGGAACAAAACAGCAGCAGACCCACAGAACCCAAGAATGGACTAACAGTTACCAAAGGGAAAGGGACTGGGGAGGATGGGAGGGAAGGGAGGGATAAGGGTGGGGAAAAAGAAAGGGGGCATTACGATTAGCATGTATAGTGTGTAGGGGGGAGCACAGGGAGGGCTGTGCAACACAGAGAAGACAAGTAGTAATTCTACATCTTACTACACTGATGGACAGTGACTGTAATGGGGTTTGTGGGGGGGATTTGGTGAAGGGGGAGCCTAGTAAACATAATGTTCTTCACGTAATTGTAGATTAATGATAACAACAACAAAAAAATGCAAGCGCCGTGTTGGAGGCTGAAACAAACAAAATAAATAAATAAATGTAAATAAAAAGGACAGCAAAGGAAGCAAGCATTAAGAGAGTGAATACACAACCTAAAGAATGGGAGAAAATATTTGTAAGCCATTGTCTGATATGAGGTTAATCTCCAAAACACATTAGGAACTCCTACAACTCAACAGTGAAAAACCTAACACATTTAAAAGGTGGGTTAAGGACTTGAATAAATATTTCTTCAAAGAAGACATACAAATAGCCAACTATATGAAAAAATACGCAGTGTCACTAATCATCAGGGAAATGCAAATCAAAACCACAATGAGGTATCATCTCACACCTGTCAAAATGGCTATAATAAAAAAACACAAAAGACAAGTATTGGTGAGGATGAGGAGAAATTTGAACACTTGTGCACTACCGGTGGGAATGTAAAATAGTGCAGCTGCTATGAAAAACAGTATGGAAATTTCTCAAAACGTTAAAAATAGAACCGTATGACCCAGCAGTTGCATGTCTGGGTATTTATCCAAAAAGAACTGATATCAAGATCTCAAGGAGATATTAGCCTTTGCATGTTCATTGTAGCACTTTTCACAAACGCTAAGATGTGGAAACAACTTCAATCCACTAACAATGAAGGAAGAAAATATATAAATATACACTTATATATATTATTATTACAGTATTCCCATTGCATGTGTATATACACACAAACAGTGCAATACTATTCAGTCTTAAAAAAGAAGGAAATTCTGCAATAGGCAGCAACATGGATAGACTTTGAGGATATTACGCTAAGTGAAATAAGCCAGTCACAGAAAGACAAGTAGCATGATTCCACCTATATCAGGTATCTAAAATAGCCAAGTTCAAAGAATCAAACAGTGGAATGGTAGTTGTCAGTGCCGGGACAGGGGAAAACAGGGAGTTACTAATCAATGGGCATAAAGTTTCAATTAAGCAAGAAGCATAAGCTCTAGAGATCTGTTGTACATTTTTCCTACAGTCAACAACAATGTATTGTACGCTTAAAATTTTGTGGTTAGGGTAGATCTCATGTTAAGTGTTTGTATCATAATAAAATTTAAATTTTGTTTAAATTTTAATTTAAAAAATTATACTGTGGAAGCAGTCAGATTTGGAAGGAGAATGAGTCTGGGTCCAGGAAAAGAAGAGTAGTTTCATAACAAGATTACTCGGATTAGTTGACTGAAAACAATTAATTACCATCCTGTTGAGAGTCATCTGCATTTGCATTGGTGAGAAGAGTGAGTCCTGCTAAGTAGAACACTTCAGCATTATTCATGCCACCACTTGCTCCACAGTCCTGTTCACTATTATCTGAAGATGGAAGTATCTGTTCAAAAAGGAAATCATTCCCCAAAAAACAGCATTCAGTGGCTGTTATGGGGTATATCTGACTTCTGGCTAATGTTACTTGCAAGTCATCACTTATTAAATGTTAAAATCTAATTCTCCAACTTCCCCAAACCTGTTTCCCTAGTTCTCACCTCATGAGTTTACAAATACATACTATTTAAAATTCACTTAAGAGCTAAGCCTTAAGCATATAAGTTTGATGTGGAAGGATTTAGAAAACAACTTATACTTTCTCTTCTTGAAGCTTTGTACATTTAATTAACTAATAAAATAACCTTTAAGTGAATAAGTGAATGAATGAATGAATAAGTAAATGAAACACTTAACTACTCTTCATGGTCCTTTCCAGCTGTAGTTTCTAAGTTCTGAGAGGGATGAGACCCTGTGTTTTGTTGCTCCACACAAAATAGAGCAGAGCACAAAAATGGGTAAGGATGCTCAATGAATTATTTTTGATGAGGGTTAACTCCTCATCAGTTTGTGACCATGCCCCATGTGACCGAGGAAAGTGAGTATGGGTTATTGGAGGTGGGAGGGAGGCACATGGCTAGGGAAGGGGCAGGAAAGGGGAAATGGCTATTCCTGGCTGCAGTGTTCATGTGTGGCCATATAGTCTCCCACAGTAGTCCCTGTTTTATGTTACCCCCTCCATCACCTCTTCAATGGATTTAATACATTCAACTCACTAGAACCCCAGCATTTTCAGTCATATCCCTTCCCTGGTTCAAGTGAGCAAGAAATTTAATCTTATGCATTAGTTTTAAAAGCTGCTTTCTCTCTGAGAGTAAGGTTATTTCTCACTTTTTAGAAGTGACTTAATAAACCAGTTGATGTCATGAATCACTGAAAGGAAGATAGCCTGGAATTCGTTGCATTTGAAAGTTTGTTTCTGAATGTGGATTTAATTACATTTTAGTTTATTCCCAGTTGAAAACTGCATTTTTAGCATTTCACTGAGAATATTCCCAAATAAAATATGTTCACATAATAACAAATAAATTGGAGAGTAAATTAACTAGATAATTATCCTTTACATATCTAAAAAGACAATTAAAAAGGATAACCCAGATCAAACCATTCACTTGATTCTACTCTGTACTGAGATTCCACTCAGGCCATAAGTCACCTAACATCTCTGTTTCTAATTTTCCTCATTGATAACATGGGAACTCCATTAGTAAGTGCTCAATATATTTTAAATTTCTTTATTAATGATATGTGTCTCATAGGATTGTTGTGAATATTCAATAAGATCATAGATTTAAAGGTCTTCAGGAATACTCAGTATATAGGAAGTACTCAATAAATGTTAGCTGTTGGTATTGTTATCCTTAAGTGTAGCTGAGAAAACAGACATTGGTGTAATTGTATCTTTTTCCTTTATTCTTCTCCCATAACTAACCCACAGAACCTGGAGAGAACCATGGTGGCTGCTTGGCCCCAAGCCATGCCAAGCATCAGTAACCAAAACATTTGCCCTACTTAACTCTTTCCATGAAATTTTGGCTTCTTTCTTGGATGCCAGATAGAGCACTGCCCACTGATGATAATGCCACCCACGATTCTGACTGAGTTTCCATAGTGAGAGATACAGCTTCGCCTGGAGAATACACATCTTTATTTGGAGACAGATTGATCTAAAATGAGTTGAAAAAAAAGTATCTTAGTGTGAGATTATATTGTCACTCAGGAGGAACTCAGGCTGGGGAGAGTATTTGTGGCTTACCTGGAGCTGGTTGCCACACTTTTTTTCAATCTTTAGGCAGACTGAGTCAGACACTAATTCTGTTGTCTGCTCATCTGTGATGATGTAATAGACCAGGAGACGGGCTGTAGGAACCATGTGCTGAGTCATGGAAAGGTTTAAAACTTGGTAAGATGAATCTGGGAGTTTCTTCTCTGTGCCAAAGTGCACAATTTTGCCCTTAGATGAAATCTAAAAATACATAGCAACAAATATGCATCAGAGTAGGCTTACAGCTGGGCTAGTTATTAGGCAGATGATAAAGAGGAAAGAATGTCCAATGAGCATCTACTAGGTAGATCTGTATTAAGCATATATACATGAATATATTCGATCTCCACAATTGTATATTGTAGTTTTATTAATAACCATTTAGTAGTTACAAAAATTGAAGCTCATAGATGTAAATTATCCCATTAGCTTAAACTTCCCCCTCTCTCAGAACCAATATGGTTATTGCTAATTGCAACAAATGGCTTAGTAAACAAGATGATGTTATCAGTCACTGGAAAGAACATAGTTTGGAACTGTTTGTAATTAAAGGTTTGTTTCTAAACATGGATTTATTTCAGAAATGAACACTGATCTTGCTGACTCAAAGCCCATGTCTTTTCCAATATGCCATGCTGCTGTCCATTCTAATTTGTATTTTAGACAGCAACGAACAATGTCTGGAATAACTACATCCATTCTTGAACACAGGACTTAAATTTTTCTCTCTGTAAATAAGGCATATTGTTGAAGAATGTTGGCAAGGCCTAGTAGTCCAGTGTTTGGTAATGCTCTTATTGGCCATGAAACACTGCTGAGGTCACAGACTAATCTGTGGACTAAATGAAACCCTTGGCATCATGTCATGGAAGGAGTATCAGTCTAGAAGTCAGAAGACCTTGAATGAAATTGTAAACCTACTACCAACTACATGTGAACATGGAAGGTCACTTAATCTTTTCTGTTGTGTGCTAAGCTCAAAGACATGTTGTGAGGCTCTGTTATGCGGTTTGTGAATGTGCTTAATAGACTATGAAGTGCGATCTAAGTTCATCTATTCAATCACTAAATATTGATTGGGTACTGCTTTGTGTCAGGTAAGGAATCATTTAAGGGATTATTTTTATAAATAAAGAAAATGTTGTAAGTAAGGGACTAGATGCAAGTAAGATATTATTGAACTTACCAAGTAATTGTATTGTGTAATTTTGTCAACATATGGACTTTTAGGGGTAACAGTTACGCTCAGATTTTCTCCCACATGCAAACTCTTGTAACTGTCCGTCCAGCTAAGGGAAAGGAAACTTTGGCTGTGTGATGAGTAGGCCACAGCTTGATAGCCATTGCTGGCCTGATATTCTTCTGGAAGGTCTGGGTCATCAGTTCTGACCTGAAGAAGATAGTGTCAAAAAATGTAAAACACTGATGCTTAACCTTACATCAATGATGATGGTGGTGATGGCGGCAGTGGTAACCATTAACATTTTTCTAGTTCTCACTTAGAGCCAGGTCTTGTTCTAACTGGTAGACATGTATAAATGTATCTATATACCTTATACATCTTCAGGCATCCCATCTTATGAAAAGGAAAATTAGCATTCCACTGCTTTAACACATAATAAGCTATGTTATCAAGTGACTAAAAAAAAGGTATTGATTAAAATAATAATGAAATTAACTATGAAAATTCAGGTTACTGTAGAAGAGTCCAGTGAAGTCAAAGAAGAGAAAAAACCCTAGATCTAGGGTTGGCCTTCTTCCTCAAATGACGTGCCAACTCATTGACCTATTTCCTTCTGCCATAGTCTGGCGGGAATTACATGGCAGGAATTAGGAATTTGAAGAGAGGGAAAATAGGAGGAGGATATGGAAATGATTCTTGAAAGTTAACAGAGATGTTGGTTGTGAATAGTAATGTTGGTAAGTAATTTCACTTCTTCTCAGGAGAAACAGGGAGAAGGATTTAGGATAATAAAATTTATTCTTTAGGGTCAAGTGCAGGGTCACAGAAAACTCATAAGGATAGGTGTTATGCTGTACCAGTTTTTGAACAAGAAGTTGGAACCATCTATGTTTTCCTTGAAACTGAAGAAGTAGATATTATTTGCTGGTGACAGTTATTTGATAACAGATAAAAACAAGGGAAAATTGTTCATGCTATTAGAGAAAAAGGAGACTATGACATTTGGCTGTTGTTTAGGTTTGGATAGAGATATGTGCATCCAGCCAATCAATGTTTACTGGTCCCTAACATGTGTCAGGACCTATGCTAGTTGCTGGTAACACAAAGGTGAAAAATACAAACAGTTCTTGCCCTTAGGGAATTTAAAATCCATTACACCTTCCTGGATAAAAGACACCTACCCTGATTAGCAGAAGAAAGCTCCTTGGAGGACAGGGTTTAAAAGCTGACCTCCAAATGAACAGGCGTTAGGGAATTAAAGACCTGGGGAAGAAGAGTTCAGGCAGGGTTAAAAAGGTCTGTGGCAAAAGGGAGCAGGGCAGGAAGGAGCTGCACACTGCCCAGGGTAGTTGGTGTTCTACATGCTTGAGAAGAGCAGTGGGCAATGAGTTTGGAGAGGACAGCAAGGGAAAGGTCAACTGAGAACAAATTTGTGTCTCAGAAAGATCACTCCATCCCTTTTTCCACAAAGAAGAGAGTGTCTGGGAGGAGAGTGAGGAACAGGGTGGCTGGAGGGCCATTCACTGAAACAGCACTGGGAGGGAGGAGGTCTAGGTCTGAGGTTGGCAGATGGTCTTTAGTTTTGGACAAACTAGCAAGCAGCACACAGATAACCTTGGTGAGAGCAGTTTCAATGGAGTGGCCAGGGCAGAAGCCAGATCTCGGTAGTCTGAGGAGATGTGGGAAAGGAAAAAGGAGGATGTAGGCTCTTCCTCAGTAAACTGAGGGAGAGAAGATGACAGCTGGAAATAATGGAGAAGAGAAGATTCAGTTTGTACTCTTATTCTCCTGGCAATTCCTGTTCTAAATTTTCCAGACTTGAATAGTACTCCATTAAGCACAGGAAGAAAAACTATTTCTAAATACAAAATTGCAGACTCATACCCTTTATGGAATGCTGAGTACACTAAACTGTATTTCCTGTGCCCGCAAGTCAAATATTTCAGAGTTCACTAGACATATATGCATAAAATCTCCCCCATCTCTCCTGCATATTAGCTACCACACAGATTGAGGCAGTGTTAGAAAATACAACAAATGAGAAATCTGCTCACATGAAACTCCAGTGTTGTCACATCAGAGGGAATGTCAACCACAAATGAAGCTACTCCATCTTTATAATTTGTTGTACTTTTTCTTAGATCCAGATCTCTCTTCCTCTGAGTTTTATCAACTGTTGTTGCTTTCAAGGTTACTGCAATCCCTCCTACAGCATGGGCAAAGGCGTCCTTCACCTGTACCTGTTGCACCAAATCCATTTCAACAGTTAACGTTGATTATTTTGTAACAAGAAAATCAAAACCCTAAATACTTCCCTCCTTCAGTCCCAAGCACAGACTTGGCAGGATTCAATCAGTAGTCACATCTTAAGCAGTCAAATGCCATTCTCTTGAGGTCATGTTTTAACCACTCCATGCATATATGATATGAATCACATTCAATTCAACATGTGGTTATTGAATGTTTAATAAGAGCAGGACCCTGTGCTACATGCTTGTACACAAGCCATGGGGTTGGTTGAAATTATTACCAGACATGGATCTAGACTGTTGTTTTTCATCACAGCCTTGGTGATTGCCTTGTCCTATTCCTCATCCTCCTCAGATTATTCTCCATTTAAATGTCTACACTGAAGGCCACATAGAAGCAATATCTATCAGGGATCCTTTTCCTCTGCCATTCCACAAACTAAAAGTATACCATATTAGATTTTTTAATCATCTAACCTTGATGGAATATGGAATCCCAGGCTTCAGGAAAAGAGGAGTAGCAACCAAATCCAGTGTGTAGGGGGAGAGGACATATTTGACATGAATCACTTTGGTTTCTTGGAAGAATCCACCTAAGGGAATAACATGCATCACTGTGAGAATTTGGCAAATGCAATGTGGCACATTGTTCTGCATAGGCACCCACTCCGTCCCTCTGTATTTCTTTATTTGGATAAAGACAAGCCATTCATCCACTCTTTGGTCATATCACATATAATTATTAACTTAAGTCTGGATAATTGCATGGTCACCCTGGATGAGCCTGGCCACTCCATGAACCACTAAAGTGCAGTTTGCAAGAGGTTGGGAAGATACCCATTCATCAGTTTCAATGAGAGTGCCTTGTTCCAGACCATTTGTCAAATCAGTTATCCAACTTTTTTCTTCAAATAACCAAGCAGGGCCTTATGCCCTCCAGGAGTCAATAATCCTGTTAGAAGAGAAACTCACATGTGGAATAGCTGATTCTCATCTCCAAGGCAACATTGAAATAGCAGGTAGTTTGGTTGAAGATACATGTTAAATATTTAATAATATGTAAACAAACACCCAAATGACTCAGGAATGCTTTCATAATGTGTGTATTTTTACCATCTCCTTTGTTGCAAGTAAAATCTTCTGGTACCATTATTGCCTGTTGTTCCTGATAACATAAAAGACTGTCCTTTGCATGTGGGAGTAGGGTGTCATCACTATAAGAAGATATCTTTCCTGAGCATTTCCCCTGCATGGAGCTGATGGGACAATAGTTTGTTGGAGCATATGTGGCAACTGTGCTTGCCCAACATTGCACGAAAAATATGCTTCAGGTTCAGATTCCTACCCAAACTTTGGAATAAGAAAGAGCTGTGTGAAATTAATTTATAGATTAGTTTAGGAACTCACCTGTACTACCCTTTACTTCCACAGAAATGTAAAGGTATTTGTCATTTAAATCTTCTAGATTTTTATATGACAGTTCTTTAATTGCCTTTGAAGTATTAAAACTGATTTGTGCCACTCCATCAATCAGCTGTTTTTTAAAAGGGGGACATAAAGGGAGAAGCTGTAATATTAGAGTAAGAGGGAATAACAAATTCTACATCATTCATCCTGCAAAATTTTCACTTGACAATGACTTTGTAGTTACAGCTATGGGTAATACAAAGCATAAGCTTGATTCCATGGGTATATTTTTAGCTGATTAATGTTAATGAACATTTCTTTTAAGCCAGAAGCCTCAGGCCATATTGCAGGATCATGGAGAAAAAACCTTCGGTGGGACTGAAAATCTCTAATTCAAAATCATGTCTCATCCTGTTTGGAATCTGAGGCTATAATTTGCATGCTATCCATCTGATGGAACCTTATAAAGAAGTCCAGGATACCACATCCACAAAGAGAGAAATCTGCCTCTGGAAGTAGGTTTTCGTAAACTCAAGCCTCAAACCCAAATTCAAGACAAATATCACTGTAACTTATTTGCTTTCCTCAGTAGAACTTCCCAAAGCCCAAAATATTATTGGTTTTGTTTTGTTCTGTTTATTTATATGAACTCTTGGGGGTGAAAGTCCATTTTTAATCTCTGTACTCTCATGAATTATCCCCAAATCTCCATTTCTGTGAAAGTAACTTGATCTCTTCTTACCTTTGTGTTTTGTGTTGCTCCAAGCATCATTTCTTTTCCACTATCACTTAAATCATTTTTTATCCAAAAAAATATGGTAACTTTAGCATTAGTTACATTCTTATTGTGAGAAGATCTGTCAAAAGAGAATACAGGTAACCCCTTTTTTGATAAAGCAATTACAGTAATAAGATACAGATGAAATATAACCATGTGAAATTTGTTTTTCACTCGTGTTTACATCCAATATCGCATTTCATCCTTACACTCTGCAGATGTAAAAGTAAGTGGGTATTTTTACTCCCATTGACACATGAGGAGATTGAGTCCCAGAGAGATGAAAAGAACTCGCTCAACTTCCCCAGTTTTTAAGTTCATAGTAAGTTAGTGGAGAAGTGAACTTAGAATCCAGTTGTCTTTGTGAGGTGCCATACTTCTTCCATGACTAGCATAATGTGGCAACAATAGGGACCCATTCCCTAATTCTCCTTTTAGCAAAAAGGCAACATCACATCCATACCACTTGTACTGGAGCCAAGTTCCTTTCAGTTTAGCCTCATACTTGCCTTTTGAGTCAAAGAAAAACATGAACTTTCCCTATTTAAATATAAAACAGGCTAGCCAGTCTTCTCATTAGCTCATCGGGCAAGCGGGGTTTCTGCACCTAGTCAATTCTACAACTGGTTTTGATAATTAAGTTGCATTATCAATATTAACAAGGCCATAAATAAGAAGCAAATGCTTACATATATTTTAAATACCTAAGCAGTTGTAGTCACCTGAATAGTCACCATGATACTCAATCTTTAGGAGTCTTTGCTTACAAGATTGTAAAACAAATGCAAAGTTGGGAATCAGCAAATGCAATTCAAGCAAATTTCCTCAGACCCACCTCCCATAATTATGGCAGATATTAATCACACCATTTCTTATACGGAACTTCAGAATTTTTCTCAACAAAGAACCCCAGGCAAGCATCACCAATCAATCACTTTTGACTCTTAAAATGAAATCTGTTTGCCACTCAGGGGCTAGATGAATTTGAAAATAATAATTTTCTTACCTAGCTTTTATAGTAATCTTGAAATCCTTGAAGTTTTTATGGCCAATGAAGTAATTTTCTGGTTCCACTATGATTAAAAACTGTGGTTTCTCCAAAAATAAACCTAAGCAAAAAAATTATACAGTTTAAATTATACTTCAAGAAACTTTTTGGCACAATGGAATAGAATCACTATCAGTAAAATACTGATAACCTCCTTCCTCCTGACGATCAATACCCTTGGGAAGCCTCTTCATCCTCCAATCAGGGATCAATGTCACTTTTCTGCTCCAGCAGTAATATCCTTATTAAAGCATGTGTATTACTGTCAAAGCATGAGCTCCATGAGGACAAGTCCTGATCTTGTTCATTGTGTAAACCTTTTCCCCAATGCCTTTTATATAATGTTTGATAAATGTTTATTAAATTGGAAATTTCTTGCTTCTTTAGCATTCTGTGTTTAGCAATTGTCTTCTATTTGGTGGGCAAAATGTGAGAATAAATTTTCAAACTCTCATATAGGAAAGACATCTTCTAGTTACTAGCTCTAGTTACATGGCTCTTCTCCACCTCCCTTCTTCCAGGTTAATCTTCTTTAGTTATATTGAGCAGCTCTAGAAAATAACTTTCTTATGAAAATGAAAATTAGAATAAAGGAAAGTTTTAGACTTTCCATCTCTTTGAAGCTATGATCCACAAATAACATTTTTAGGCTGTTTCTAGGACGAAGTCTTTTTCTTATGCCCATTCAAGAAGTGATGCTAGGTCCCACAATCCTATTTATCATGTACTGTTCTGCAAGCTGCTTAACCCAACAGGAGAAGGCTGCCCTTTGGAGAGAAGGGCGACTTGGTTACAGAATGACCAGAGCAGGTGGTGAGGGCCCAGCTGTAGAAGGGCAAAGCAAGTGTCTCACTGTGCTGGCTTCTTCTCTTTGTGTGAGAGAAAAATGATTCCCAGCATACTAGTGAAAAGACAGAACAAGGACTTTGTAACTATCCAAGAACATCCAAGAGTAATAATAAACAACTCTGAAGTTGAATTTAATTGCTTCAGAGGGTATTCTCCTGCTTTGGCTTTAGCATCTAAATGTTTCAAATGTTTACATGTGCTTGCTCTTCTCTCCTAATTATAAATACCTTTCTGCTTCCTCATCAACCTGGTGAGCAGAAAGCATGGTTTAAATAGCTTAGTAACAAGTTTACACAAGAGCATACAAATAAATATTCTACTAAGCTCCTGTAAGAAAGAAGATAAGTAATTGTTTATAAACTAATTATTAGTAAAATTAATATGAATATATCTAAAATAAGTACACTACTTTTCTCCACAAACATTGTAACTTTCCAAACACAGCATTGGTTGTTAGGACTGATGGGAAGGAGCACTGGTTCGGGGTTCAGAGATGCCATTCTCATTCTCAGCTTGGACAAAGAGGTTGTGAGAACCTAAACCAGTCTCCCCATTTCTCTGGGTCTGATCCTCCTCACCTGGACTTGTCTTTAGATGAGGGGATCAGACTAGATGATCCCTAAAAGTGTCAGAAAACCATGGATCTTGCAAGGACATCATCCTACTCTCTTACAGGTGTTGACTCTCTGCAGAACTATGATGAGGAAATAAGGCCCAGAGAGTTCAGTGACTGACTTGAGGTGAGCCAGTCCAAGAGCCCTTCAGTCCTTGGCCCATTAGTCTCCCAGTACACCTCTGTCTACCACTCCACATTGCCCGTCTTTATTCCTTAATGAGTTTTTAACCTACAAAATTATTGAGAACAAGTTTCAAAAATATACATTGGAAATCTCAGTAATTTATGAGAAATTACCAGGGTTTTTAATAGCAAAATATGTTGTTGCTGTTGTTGTGAAGTCTTCTTTGTATTTAGCTTTAATTGTCCATAAGCCATATCTGTGAAAGCAACACATTAATAATTTTAGGCATCACCAAAATTCTCAAATCATATCTCAAAATATCTTCCAAGTTCTAGGAGAAAATTCTGAAGAAAACTTTCTCCAAAGAGAAAATCACAAAGCCTTTATAGAATATTAAATACATGCTAATGGACATCTTTCATTTGTACATTTTTTTCTCTCTTTTATCATACTCTCGGTATTTGGTAGGCAAGGTCTGTCTCCCACAGGCTGGACTTTGCTGTGGAGGGTACTCACTGAATTATATTGAGCAGACTAGATTGGCACTTACAGCTGGCAATATTATATCAGGTCCCTGGTCTCAATGCAGAAGAACCCAAACAGTTGCCACGTTACCTTAGGTTAGAAGGACATTCACTAGGGCCTGATAAAAAGAGTGGGATCCAAACCCTGTTTACAACAGCACCTTTCAGTCATATACAAATGGCTCCATCAGACTGTTCAATAACCCCAGGTACCTCTACTACTTCTAAGAGAAACAACTTTACCAACAGATAATTTAAAATACTTAGAATCAGGTGGAATCTTGAAGTCAGGAAAAGTGATAATTCCAGTATAATTTTTTTTTCCTTCCATGGCAACTTCTGATCCATCTGGATCCTTTGAGTGAAAAGAAAAGAAAGTTTTATTTTTTTTAAAAACAATCTATGAATACAGAAATCACATAAACATAATATGTGATTGACAGTTCTTATAAAATTATTCACTAAATGCTAAGAAACTTTATTGAAACTAAGCACATGCAAGGTTGACCTGGAATTGACGCAATGACTGTCAACTGGTCAGGCTGTTTACAAAGACTAGTTTCTAAGGCATGAAGGCATATTTTGAACAGGCATAAGTAGTATGGTATATATTTAAGATACATTAAATAAACTCCCAGCATGGCTCTTCTCCACCTCCCTTCTTCCAGGTTAATCTTCTTTAAACTCTGTGTCCATAATGTCATGCCATGCCCAGAAAGCTTTCTTGGCTCCCTGTTGCCTTCAGGATGGAACCTGAACACATCAGGATCTGCCATAGCAATTGCCTCTGACCTGTTCAATGACTTCTCTTAATGGGGAACTCTAACAGGGGAATAATGAGGTCTGTGGAGTAATTCACCTCTATAACAGGTTCCCTTGAATCTGTCTGTCCCCCATAATTTCCATGTAAAATAATGTTTCAAACTACCCGTCTCTCCTTAAAGCGTTTTCAGGCCAGTCTGCAATAGGCTAGCCACTGTCAGAGCCATCTGCATGTTTTGCTTCTTCCTGGCTCCAGACCTCTGCAACTTTTGCACACAACCTAAGACATCATCCAGCTTCTCTCTATCAAATCCACTCAATGGTTTCCTTTAAGACCAAGTTTAGGACCTGCCCTTGTCCTTTTGTAATTCCCTCCAGAATAATTCAGTCATCATCTCCGGCTTTGCCTCCCCTTCAAGCTGGTCTTCTTTTGGTCCTACATCATCCCATATTTGGTTTACTGTATTATGCGTGCTTGTCTGGCCTTCTGAACTCAAATGCTCATGGAGGGTCAAACCCCATAATCTTCCATATAAATTAAGAGAGGCTAAGTGATGAGACTCCAGTGACAGACCTGAGTTTGAATTCTGATTCAGCTAATAAATACCAGTATGATCTCAGTGGCAACTCAATTTCTCCAACCTTTAGCCCTTTCATCCAGAAAAGGGAGATGATAATTATATTGATTGTACAAGGTTGTCATGATGATATGATACATGCCATGCACTTCTCATAGGCACTGCAATTTATACTTCTACAACCCTTACCATATCTGCCCATACTTCAGTTAGCAAGAGGATACTAATTAACTGATGCACTTTAGAGAAGGAGCCATTAAAGGGTACTCTTGAGTGGCATCATCAAAATATATTTCAACTGACATTTAATTTACACACAAAAATCATCAGTTGGGATAAGAAAAGTATAAAATTACCAGGTTATACCCAAAATAGGTGCTAAATAGATGTTTGCTGCTATTTAATACTGAATAAATTAATGCTACATTTGACTAGTGTTGTAATAATGAAAACTATTTATTTATATAATGCATATGGTAAGGTTAAATTTTGATTCAAATTAATGGCACTCACTATAAAAGTTATGGTAACTTCTCTTTGTGATGGCTTTAGGTCTTCATCCAATGAAAAAATTCTAACTTTTACTATAAGAAAAAAAGTCATTATTAGAAACTCTGTTCAACTCCTAAATGATTTGACAATATTATCAATAACCCTATAACATGAAGGCCATGAAATTTTAAGTAAAATTAGGAAAGCCCAAAACATAAAATCCAAGTTTAGAGGGAGAGATGAACTAGGATGTTGGATGTGAACTTAATATTCAAATGGAAAAAAGGAGATGATATTGAGAATAAAACAGATTTTTTTCAAGTCAGTATCCAGCACCTGCATTAAGTTCTATAATACATCACTCAAGTTTTTTAAAAATCATTTTAAAAGAAGCCTTGGAATCATTTTGAGAAAGGTCTTTCTGAACTCCAAATTACACTAGTATTTTTCTGATTCTTTGTTTTTGTAATGTACAATTAACCTTTAGTTCATCAGCTCTTTGGTATACTGTATAAAGCTGTCAATTAACTTAATTTTTCCCCAAAAGATATGCTACTTGTCCCAATATCTTTAATGAGATCATCCCATTTTTCCCCCAGAAATTAAATTCCTCTTTATTATACCTGACTGATCTGAATTGTAAACAGATTCGTCTGTCTGAATGAAGATAAATCCATTGTCATAGTGTAGTGGAATTTCTGTTATTTTTGAAAAATGAACAGATACAACTTCTAAATATACATATGACACTGCATCTGGTTCCCCAGGTAAATCTTTTGGTTGTATCTGGTAAAAAAAAGAGTCAACAAAGAAATATTATATAATAATCTTAAGATAATAAAAGCATTTGCCTTTTAGGTTTCTATGAAAATGATTTCAATAATTGTTTATATACAACAAACATAAACATTTTGTAAAATAAAACAGTAATATATTTTTTCCAGGAACACATTTATATTTTGATTTCTTATCAAATTTAGTTTGAATCAATTACTTTTTAAAAATTGGTTCAGGTTTAATGTTCATTAAAATGACAATCACTAAGAAAAAATTCCATCTTTCATAGACAAAATAACCAAAAAGTCATTAAGAAAGATCAAAAGCTTATCAGCAGTGGAGGGGTAGAAGGATGGGGGGATTCATATCAGGTAGAGGGTAGACTAAATGACTTATCACATGGTGGTAAAAATGAATGAAATATCTCTAATATTTATAGTTATACTTAGACTAATACTAAAAGTTGAAATCTTTATTTTGCTAATATTTTTCTACTGATCATTATATAATTGTATATACATGTATACATTATATAATTGTAATACATAACAAATATGTAGCCTGCTTCAAATATTTTCATGTGATCAGTATATTTTATAGTACTAGAGTTTTGGACATGTCTCTAAGTTTCCTTGAGTATCATTGATGAATTTGAAGGAAAATTTGATTCCAGTACAAAAAAAGTACAAAACAAACCTATGATAGATACATATTTTAGGAAAAAATTAATTTTTCTAGAAATCTATGGGATTAGAATGTTGTATATAGTTTAGGAAACAAATGTTCAAAATGTTCTCCATTTATTTCTCTGAATTTTTTAGATCAACAGAGTTACTATGTTTATGTCCCTATCTAGATATATTTTTCCTCCTAACATATAAAATTTAAGTATCTAATTTACTCATTCTAGTACTATAGTCCCCTCTTATCTGTGGGTATATGTTCCAAGACCCCTAGTTCCAAGACCTAACAGTAGATTGTACTGAACCCTATTTATACAATGTTTTTCTACATATACATACTTACGATAAAGCTTAATTTCTAAATTAGGCACAGTAAGAGATTAACAACAATAGTCACTAATAAAATAGAACAATTATAATGTTAAGTTACATGAATGTGGTCTTTCTCAAAATACTGCATTGTACCATATTCAACCTTCTTGTGATGATGTGAGATGATAAAATGCCCACGTGATGGGAAGAAGTGAGATGAATCATGTAGGCACTGGGACATAGCATGAAGCTACTATTGACTTTCTGGCCATATGTCATAAGGAGGATCACCTACTTCTGGACTGCAGCTGAGTGAGGGTAGCTGAAATCACGGAAAGTGAAACTGCAGATAAGAGGGGATGCTATATTCATCATGTAATTTTGAAACAGATACATGTATTGGTTGATTTAGTTTTCAACTTATGTCACCAAATACTTTCACCTTAATAACCTTTACCTGTTTTATTTAAAATTTTACATTTCCTTATACCTTGCCCCCTAATCAGAAGCAGATTCTCTATTTAACATTTCCCATTTATTTACATGTTTACACATAAGGCACTTATCTCTCATTGACCAGTGAACTCTCTTAGCAGTATGATATATCATATTTTTATCCACATATGTAATAAGGATCAGTGCACCATCTATGTATCCGTTTTACAAAGAAGCATTTGACATATAAAAGAAACTATGAGAATACGTACAGTTAAGCTTGCAGAGCCTTGGAATTTATTTTCTGGAGATAAGTTAACATGGCCAAAAGAATATGTAAAACTTTTGTCAGGATAACTTTTAATAGCAATGGACACAACAAATGATTCTGTGTATCCATGAACTTGAATTACTATATTTTCAGAGGCTCCAACACAGAATACTTTAGATGCTGAGACAACAAACCTGTTGAAACAGTGAAATTATAGAGTCAATCTGTTAATAAAACAACTTTCACATGTTTTTCATTTAGGAGAATCAATTTAAATTACCAACAGTTCTTATACTTAATGTATTTTTATTTCTAAAAACTTTATTGTCTACAATAAAGCCAGGGTAGCTTCCTGAAAGCATTCTAAGGATGAGATTTCAAGGAGGCAGATGAAAGTGATTTTGATTAGTTGTAGCTAGGGAAATGTAATAGAGTTCTCCATAAGACATGCAATAGGGAAAATGCTTCTGTCTTGTGAAGAATCCACTTTTAATCAAAATACCAATTTGTAAGTTACTCTTCCCCAGAGCAGGGTAACAGCCTGGGAAAAGTACAGAGTATTAGAATACAAGTCATGCAGAGCTCACAATGCACTCACATTTAAAAAGTGTAATGGCATTAGACAACAGATAAAAGAGGGAGATCACTTGGAGTTTGAAGAAGTAGAAAGTTAATTAACTGAATTCTGCTTTCACTACACCAAAATACATTGCAAATGAAAATGGGATCTTTCACTTACGTTTGTTCCTGTCCCCAGCTTCTTCCCAAATAGAAAAAAATGCAGACTATACTTAAAATGTCCATGGCTGGGGTGGCATTAAACTGTTGTCACAACTCTTCTCGAAACTGCCCTCTGTTTTGTGAACTCAACTTGAGGAATTTGGTTAAATAAGTCTTCAAGTTAATTATTAATGTCAGATAGTGGGATCACTGAGAAGCAAACCTAAGAATTTAAATGATAACCTTTTCGTGTCCAAAGGTAATTTTAGAATTTGAAGCAGAGAAATTTGATTTTGATTAGTAAAGCAGAAAAACACCCAAATGGGAGTATCTAGGAAAGTGTTTCAAACTGGACACAGGAATAAAATACTTGGAAGCTTTTCTGGTCTTACACATTTTTCTGGATGTAGTAGGTGCAGATGATACACTGACCAGATCCCATTTACTGGGCTCAGTTCATAGATACTGTGAGTGTTGGCTGTTAAGTTTCCTAATTGCTCCCTTTTCCAGGTAATTCACCTCAGCCATGGGAGTTTGCCCAGATATGCCCAGGACATCACATCCACTCTCTGGGATTGGTCCACAGTCAATAATGGACTGATTCTGGGAGCACAACAGAGTAGATCCCTTGCTTCAACATGGGACAACCTGTGGTACCATTTATGCTACAGAGCACCCTGTGGGATCAAGCTAAGGCTAGACCTCAGTTCAAACCACATCTTTGCTTATCTTGTCTCTTACCCTCTGTTGCTTGCCTCATCACTTTCAGGTTTCTCGTGAGAGAAGCCTTGCAATAAAGCACTTCACTGTGAGTATCTCTCTGTCTCAGACTCTGCTTCTAGGAAACTGTTCTAAATTTAAGGAAACATGGAGGGAACTATCAGCCTAGGACTTATGCAGAAGGTCTCAGATATGGAAGTGGTTCTGAGGTTTCCTAAGAATGGGTCTGGTTTGAATTTGGGCCCAGGAGGTCTGTATTGGTCCACTTTAGAGCAGATCTGAAATCCCAAGGCAGTCTCCCAAATGCTGGGGTGTTCCTAGGAACTCTGGGACTAGGAATGACCCATCCATGACAGGACATGAACAAAGAAGCTATAAAGCTACTGCTGTCTTAGGTTTTCTCAAGTCTGCATTCAATTGCATGCATGGACCCATCCTGAACTACAAGTCTCTAGGGATAGTTGGGATGGCTGGGGGTTAGGGTGATGTGTTAGGTAATTGCTTCTTCACTTGACTGTTCTTCCTCTAGACTATAAATTTCATGAGGACAGTTACTGGATTTAACATATACAATGGGGACATACTCTAGAACTTATCACAGTGCCTAAAAGACACTTAGACAGTCAACAAATTGTTGCCAAATGAATGAATAACTGAATGAATGATCCAGGTGGACCAAGGGAGATGATGAAAGGTAGGTTAGGGCAGACTGTATATGGCCCTGAATGCCATGCTAAGGAGCCTGTATGTCATTTTGTACTCCATGGGGAATGAAGAAGGACATTTTGACCTTGCTGCTCTGACCCTAAGGATGTTGTCATCTCTTTATAACCTATTAATGTTCCTAGTTCCCTGAAAAGAACAGATAGGTAGTACATTTTATGCAAAGTATACTGAGACTGTTCTCTGAAGTAAAATGCAAGCAGAAATTGATGATAGTCTGAGATGTCAAGCATTCATTCACAACAGCAACTTTTTTTAATGATCTACCATAAAAGTATTAGATTTTGATAGTGTGTTAAGCAGAAGTATCATTCCTGCAAAGCTAGACTTTATTATTTTGTTGGAACTAATGGAATTCTAGAAGTAGTGAACAAACATTCTCATGAAAGTGATGCTGTTGACATACATGCTGTTGCAAGATATTCTTCTGAACTGGGGCCAGTAGGCTAATATTTAAACCACTGTCTGAGTTCTGAACCATACTAAGCAAGAGCAAAGATAGGAAAATTACAAAGCAACAATGTCCTGAAAGGATGATTTAATGTAAAAGGATTTTTAGATTGCAGCTGGTTCAAATGAAAAGTCTGACATCAATCCAGCCCAGAACATTTTCAGACCAACAGTGTCAGAAACAAAAAGCAAATAATCCACTTAAAAAATGGGCACAGGATCTGAACAGACACTTCTCCAAAGAAGAAATTCAGATAGCCAACAGGCACATGAAAAGATGCTCCACATCACTAATCATCAGAGAAATGAAAATTAAAACCACAATGAGATATCACCTCACACCAGTAAGGA